TCCATATGATTATCTATTAATATATTTCATCATTATTTTGTCAAAATTTTCCTACTTGTCATAATTGATTTTAAGTTACGTTATAGATACATTCAATTTGCATGAAAAGTGTAAATAGAAATGGGGATTCCAAAAATTCTACCACTTTTATCCATTTTGATGATTTCTTTTGAAAAATATAGGTAGAACTTGATAAATTAGCATTTCAAGTTTTTAATTATTTTCTTTTAAGGGAATAAAAACTGGAAGTGGGATTTTTTTATATATAACTGATTAAACAAGACATTAATTCATTAATTAAGTTACTCTGTCAGTAAAAAAAATAGTCTCGATATAGTTTAAAATTTTTTCCAAAATAATTGGTATTGTCAGACGTGGTATTAGTAGGTCGAAGATGTCAAATTCTAATTTAACAATTTATCAAAATATTTCTAAACTTAAAAAGACTTGAAAAAGATGAGATTTTGACTATCTCATGATATATCTTCTCAACTTAATGTGATTATCCCAAAAAGATTCTTCATATTCCCACGAGACATGTCACTGAAAAATCATAAGAAGAGATTACTAAAATTCACAAACATTAGAATAATCTTTTGGGGTGACGTTTGAAATAACCATCATTGGATACTTTCTTTTTCCTTTTCAAGACTCTTTGGTTAATTCATCTTGTCCTTCTCAACTTCATTCTAATGCAGACTTCACACATGCAGCGATTCATCTTTATCTAAGCTGACGTAAGTTTCTCAAGACACATGACTGGCATTTGAGAGGGATGATCTTGATGGGAAAAAAATGTACGTTGGGGAAAAATATCTATATATATATATATATATCAAAGGTTTTGGCTTAATGATCACATCGATAATAAAACAATACCATGAGGTACGTAAAACAGCAGGTGATCGGTGTCTATGTCTTGAAGAGATGTTGTCACGCCAACAAGAGTCTCTGAGATCGAAGAGACCCAATCTTCAGTCCAGGTTTCACTCGATCCTAATTAGTAGATATCTCTCCTTATTTCTCTGGAGCTCCTGAAAGCAGAAAAGAAGATAAAAAAGAAATAATTTACATGAAAAGATGAAAAAAAGGGCTTCCCACATTCCTGGATGAGGATCGAGTTATCAAGTCTCATCAGCTTCGGTAGTCGGTTCTTCTTTTCTTCTTTTTCTACTTCCTCAGCTTCCAATTTCATTGATCAGATTAGAATGATGGAGCATCAAATCCGCTACCGAATTATCGAGATAAATCCATCTATCCATAAGGTTTTTTTTCGTTGATAGATTCCTCGGGAGATGATGGGTGGTTCTTGAATAAGAGCTAGAGTAGATTATTACAACGCGAATCGCTTGGATGTCGATTAATATTCTTGAAGTAATGATCATCCAAGCGTGTAGATTCTCATCTTCTGACTCGATCATAGTCTCTAACCACAGATTATCATCGATCGTCTCGAGCACGCTTCACGCGACAGTAATGGCGGAAGCTCTCACACACAAACACGTTTGTAATAATATCTAGTAAGGTTGTATACTTTCACCGAGACGAATTAAGCCGTCGCCGCGGGTCGCTTGTGCAATCACGGCCAGAGATGTCGAGTAGTATTCCTTCACGCGGGTTCCCGTCGTGCTACACGAACAAGCGGTTCCATTCGCGCGAGTCTAATTAATCACTGCCGGTTTCAGCATGCACGAGTCGTCCAGTGGCACGCGGCTTCTCCAGGCGCTTTCTTTATACCATTCAAGAAACACTTGATTGAAAATAGATATGGATTTTAAATAATACCAGCTACCTTGATCGAGTTACTATAAAATTCAAATTATTTCATCATGCGAAATCTTCTTTTTTCTATCATTTAATTTACTATGATTTTTTAATGTTTATCATTCAAATAATTAACTGCAATTAATTAAACAGTTCATTTTATATATCATTAAACATTAATAAAACATCATTGTTGCTTTATAATTCATTGAAAAAAATGAATGAGTTCCTAATTCGTTTAATGATTTATCTCTTGAAGAATATCTTTATTTTTTATGACTCTTTTCCATCCTTAAGGCTTAAAAAAAATTAATCATTCCCAAAATAAAATTATTCTGTTTAAATATTAGATACAAATAACTAAACTAATAATAAATAAATAATTAATCAATGAGAAAAATTCATTAAAATATATTATGATTATTTATTAAAATGATTAAAATGAAAAATAGCCTGTATTGATTGATGATTGTAGGATCAATTGAGATTCATATTTCAACTTTTGAAATCATTATATCGACATCAAAGATAATCCTACGAAATTTTACTGTTAATTTACATATTTACTTTCAAAAAATGAACAATTGAAGTTCAATAACATCATTTATAATAAAAAATTTACAATAAATTATTATAAATCGTTAAATTTTAATTCAAGAGATATTAATGTATATTTTTGTTATTTTTTTGAATTAAAAAGAGCTAGTGATGAATATTACGTCCTATTACACATGATCAAGTATGAAATGAAAGATGATAGACAGCAAGGTATGCGTAGGCATATAAAACGATTAAAGAAGCATTTAAAAAAGATTTTATAATTCATTAGAATTTCCAGTCAACAACAGAAACATTAAACGCCTAGTAATTATGTGAAACATAAAAACTGTGGAATTACTTTACATCCACATGTTTACGCATTTTGCACACAGACGGAGGAAGGTAATGGACTCTTGTCAAACAGCAATCCCATCAAGCCGAACGGAAGCGTGCGGATAATGGGCGAATCGTAAACAGTGTGGAAGTAATAACGAGAACGAGAGAGTGAAAAGGCATAGAGAAGAAAAAGAAGAAGAAGATGATGAAGGAGAATTAGAGGATAAAGAAGGAAGACGATGATTGTGGTTCATGCAAATGGATCTGATGGGAACCTCAGGAGAAAGGTTACAAGGATCGAGCTAGTAAAAGAAGAAGCCAAGAATATGGCCCGTGCTACACAACAATAGCCTTGCATTATGTGCACAACGTGGCGGCAATGGGTCGCACTAAGGTTACATTATCCCTGGCCCCAGCCTCTTTCCTTTGCACATAAAGAGAGGACTCACGCTCGGCCGCACAATCGGCCCTGTAGACTTTTAACTATGGATGTATGCGTGTCTGATGCCCCTTACAGTCGTCAGGGTGGAACGAAGCCTGAGAATATTCCCACGTTCCGTAGCACGAGCCAACGAGTACACCCATGGAATTTCGGAGGCAAAGAGGAAGCCACTACGATTACATACAAGAGAGAAAAGACGACTGTGTTGAACAGAGAACAAGTCTACTATGGAAGAGAAGGCGCCTGCTGAGGCACGCTTCGAATTAGCATTGGGCCTCGACAAGTTTGCACCGTTAACTTACTCTCGTGGGTAGTCTTGATCTATAACACGAAACTTCCAAGTTGAGCAACCTACTATATGTATAGCATGTAGCGAAATTTAAATCATTATTTAAAGCAGATTATATTTCTCACCTTTGTGGGAACGAAAACAACATGAACACACTTGCATGTGCGAGATTTAACTTTTCTACCTGAGGCTTTTTGATATGACGTGTATGTTATATTATATTCCCTCAATAAAGTATCTTATGCTCTATAACGTCAGTAAGTTTCACTTTGTCTAAATAAGATTTTCAAAATTCTTATCACTTGATTCCTTGGCATTTTACACTCTCATGTACTGAAGTAGTAATTATGTCTTATTTATTCAGCTTGTGGGTTTTTGGTACATATTCATCCAGTTGTATTGTGTCAACATCAATTACTTTGCCTAAATCCAGCTTCGAGACTTTCAATGATAATTTTCTAAAAAAAAAATCACTCGTTATTATAAATGTTTATTTAAATCATTTGTAATATACTAACATGTGCTGTTCGATTGTTTTAAAATATTTTGAACTCAAGAAATGATTCTATCATTAAAAATGATCATTTATGATGTTATCGTACAGTCATGTGGGATAAATTTGTCCAACATTAAACGTGGGGTTTGGCTACACAGGATATACAGTACTATCGTTTTACCCCACGTATTTGTATCCGGCTCGAACGTTCAATCAATGCAATAATTGCACTTTTCTCCTCATTGACATACAGAACACTTGACCCGAGATAGCTTGATAAGCTCCTAACACATGATTTATTTCAACCTGTCATCAGAAATTTTGATACATAAATCAACCGTAAGAGGAAGTGCGTTAGATCTAATATAATAGACGAAAAGGCCTATTAATAATGAAGTCACTAAAATTGCATGTGAGAAAAAAAAATAAATGTAATGAAGAATAATTCATCAAGAAAAAAGAAATAGAAATATTTTCTCAGGTAATTATGTAATTAATTGAAGCTTAAAAAAATGGTGAAGTAATCTGGATTTTTGTTTGGGCTTCTTGCATCACGAATTTAGTAATTAAAATATTTTTATTCAAAAAGACCTTGAGGTGTTGACGTCAACATAGTGTCTGGACCTCCCCAACAAGGACTAAATACTTCTTCTCTTAAGGTCGAAACCAGTATAGTGTAAGAGCGGGAGCCGTCGACAGCACGAGATCGCAATTACGGTGCGAGTGTGCACGTGACCGGTATTCCGTCGTGCCGACAAGTGTCCGCGACACACAGTATTAGTACGAGATGGAAGTCCGGATGAGAAGAGGTGCACAAGAGCAACGAGAGGAGGACAGGAAGAGTTACATAGAGAGTAAGAGAGCACGCCATCCTCGTGCTGGTCGCGCGTCATGGCGTGTGCTCGGTACAGAGTTATTTTCCCCTTTCCGTGCTGCACACTACTGTTGAAGAGCAAGAGGGTGCAGGTGTGTCGTTGGAAATTCCCCCGCATGCTGGCCCAGCAGGCTACGACCAAGCTGTGGGAACATTTCGTCCCGCGAGCTTCCCACGATACGCTCCTCCGGCTGGTAGCTGCGGTATACAAGTTCTTTCTCTGTCACACAGCTGCTCGTAACCCTCGTTGCAACGTGTTAGCCCGTTTTCAAACAGGGGAATCGGCCCAAGTGCCAGGCCAATGGTGGGGAGCGACCAGTAGTATATAAACCCGTATAAGGCCCCCACTCGGTCAGAAAACACTCAGATCAACTCGGCACTCCGAGCTAGAGAGTACCCTGTTCTCCAAGTAATCTTGCGAGTTTTAATATTTTTTTCCAATTTTGTGATAACGAGTGACAAGTGACAGTTTTCTATTTGAAAAAAAATGGCACCACACACTACAAGTTACGCTGCTGTTGGAGCTGGTATGGAGTACGAAGAACCTGTGTCGCGGACTTATCAGTACCGCAAAGTGATGAAACCAATGTTGGAGAGAAAAAGACGTGCTCGTATCAATCGTTGCCTAGATGAGCTCAAGGATCTCATGGTCAACGCACTTCAAGCTGAAGGAGAAAACGTTGCTAAACTGGAGAAAGCTGACATCCTCGAATTGACAGTTCGTCATCTTCACACTCTCAGAGCTGCTAGAAGACTTACTCTTACACCTGAGAATACATACGTTGACAGATTCCGTGAAGGATTTACTCAATGTGCTCAAGAAGTATCAACATTCTTATCAACTCCAGTTGCTGCTGCTGTACATCCTGCTGCTGGTGCTCAGCTGATGCGTCATCTTGGAGGATGTCTTCGCAGATTAGAAGGATCAACAAATCCATCAACTCTCCATCAATCATCACCAACGACCAAGGTTCCGGTCAACATGCCTCAAAATGTCTACACACCACCTCAAAGTCCCATGAGCGTTGCCAGTTTATCTGGGGATTCAACCGAGACTGCAGCTGTTTGGCGCCCATGGTGAAGCTGTTTGTTTTAAACATATGACTGGAACATGTCACTGATATTTAAATCGTCGACTGGGGACTGGCCTGTTGGACACTCGCCCGTCGGATCCTGCTACAGATCACATGAGAGAGGAGCAGAAAAAAATATTTACGACAAATCAATGTCTTCCAATTTAATTGTAATTCTTTTTGGCAATCGCGATTTATCATTTACTATTATTAGAATCGCATTATAATTAACAAAATAATGAATATTTTCTTGTTAACTTGATTAATTAGTTGAATAATTTAAAGAAAAAAATATTGTATGGGTGATGAAGCTTTAAGTAATGTCTGTGATAAGGTTTTTTCGTACCTGAGATTACTATTTTCTCATATAAAATAATAATAACTTTTATTATTATAAAGTAATACAAAAGTTAATTTGTTATGTTTAAGATGCATTTTAAGCCTTACCACATTTATGTATCGAACTGAAAGATTAATAACATTGATAATTATACATTTTTAATAAATAAACAATTGTTAATTTACTATAATTCAATATTTATTTTATAATTTTAAAAATCTACCCAATACTATCCATACTCCTATTTCATGTCTTTGCCAACTCTCTTAATAGCTATAAGTCAAAAAAAAATTTACTGATTTAAATTTTAAATTTGGAAGCTCAAATATCTAATGTATACATAATACTAGACACCGATTATCATGTCTGGCACATTCAATTGAGTGATTAACGTATAGATAAATGAATCCCTTTTGCTGCAGCCACGGCATTTTATAGATTCTATGACGACCATTCATACTCCAACAATGATTTATGTTTTACTACTAGACATCAATTATTATAATTTTACACATCATATTTGATGCTTGATCACGATATATAAACGTTTACATACTCTTCAGCTGTGCTGACAATATCACAAGTGTTGATGAAATTTATTTTAATCTCAAATCACATGAAATCCTTTTCTTCTTTCACATTTATTACGCAAAAATTCTAATTTTTTGATATAAATTTATTTTTATTAGATATTATTAATTTCTTTTTGACTACATCAAATTTTAATTAAATCTCAAACATCTTTGAATATCAACGATCCAGTGAGACGATCTATTTAAGCTAGGATATTCATGAAAAGTTTGAATTATTATCAAATCATTTTTGTCATGAGAGAAGATACGTTTAATTTGTTACATTAATGAACTCATTGATCCATTCAAGGTGAAATAATACGTAATAATACAAAAACTATCTAGTTGTAGACATGATATTGTTTGACATATTTATAGTTATCGATGTTTACCATAAGATTATTACAAGTTCAAACGAGTTTACAATGAAGGACGTTTTCTGATAAGAGATATACAATCTAGCTTTTTTGATACGAAAGAAAATTTCAAGACGTAATTTTCGTCAAAAATCTTTTAATTAAAAGTAAATCATCAATTAAGATTGTCATGAAATATTATTGATAATGTTTGATAAGAAAATTTAAACAATTGGTGGATTTTAAAACTGAAATGACAAAAAATTTATCTTGTCTAATATTATTTTTAAATATATTTCATTTAAAATAACTCACAGATGTTAAAATATTTTATTCATAAAATTTTTATCTATTTCACATGTTCAAATTTCTTCACAAACAATTGGGTTAATCACTTTTCTATGAATTATTTCAAAATTTATGTTTAACCATAAGAACATTGAACTCATGATAAGATTTACTATTATCATGTCACGTATAATATTTGTATTTCTCTTTGTTACAGTTTCTCTCCACGTGAAGTACATTTGATAATGTCGAACACTTGTTGGAGACATTAACAGGTAATGATAACAGAATAACTGTTATATTATTAATATAATAGCCACAACAATATGTAAGTTTATACGTATTGTTTAATAATAATAGAATATAACTTTCTATTTTTTTTTTCTTTCTTAATTTAAATTTAAAATACTTAAATAAATATTTTTTTATTTACTTTATTTAGAAAGAAAATCAAAATGGATATCATTTCTTATAATCATCATAAATTGATGAGTAATAACGACATCGGAAATGACATTGAAGAAGATATTGATCAAGACTATGAAGAAGAACTGCCAGACTCAAGTGATTCAATGCCTACGGTGACAGACTCCGAGTCAAGTGATGATAACAACGGCAAGTTACCACTGAGAAGAAGCCTTTTTCCCAACGTACCACCTTACATTGTCTTCCACTCGTACGATTCAACTGGTCATGAATTACCTGCTGCGGTCACCAAGCACCTTAAGTGGGAATTGAGCAACATTACTCCTCAACTCGTGAGAAGGACCGTTGTAAACTCAGGCTTTCGACTGGAAAAAAAATCCCAAGAGTGGCTTGGAACGTGGGGAAAGCACATGAAGTCTAATTGCTTCAAGTATCTTCAAAATAATCAGAAAGTTAATCATTTTCCTGGGACATTTCACGTCGGTCGAAAAGATAGACTTTGGAGAAATCTTTGTAGAATGATGATAAAGCATGGAAGAAGAGAATTTGGTTTTGTACCACGTACTTACGTATTGCCTCAGGACCTACGTAGCTTCCGCCAAACTTGGGAGAAGACTGGTGGCAAAGAGAAGTGGATAATAAAGCCTCCAGCATCAGCACGAGGATTGGGGATTCGTGTTGTTCACAAGTGGTCTCAGATCCCAAAAAAACGACCGTTAGTCGTACAACAATATCTCTCCAAACCTCTACTGATTGGCGGTGCGAAATTTGACCTTCGACTTTATGTTCTCGTATCGAGCATTAATCCTCTACGTATATATATTTATCCAGATGGCCTCGTTCGGTTTGCTTCAGTCAAATATGTCGATGACATCAACTACCTCAGTGATCGTCTCATGCACCTGACCAACTACAGTATTAATAAAACTAGTGCTACATACACGAGTAATGAATGCGCTGATGCTGCTAATGGACACAAGTGGACTGTCAAAACTCTTTGGTCATATTTAGAAAAGGAAGGAGTGAATACCAAAAAAATTTGGACTGACATCAAAGACATTGTCATCAAAACAATGATTGCTGTTGAGTCACCTATCAATACTCTGACAAGGACAAATGTCACATCTAGATATAATTGCTTTGAACTATTTGGTGTTGATATTCTTCTTGATGAAAATCTTAAACCTTGGCTGCTGGAAGTCAACATATCACCATCTCTTCAATCATCATCAGCGCTGGATATCGCTGTCAAAGGACCATTGATTGCAAATGTTCTTAATATTGTAGGATTTCATTTACCATCAAAAATCTCAGTTCGAGAAGTTGAAAATTTGAAAAAACTTTATGGCTTTGATCGAGTTTGTCAAAATTCGGAACTTGAAAGGATGCGCTTGTCTACTCATGAGAAACAAAAACAAGCTCTCTATGTTGAATTAGATAGAGAAGATTATTTGGATGATATTTTAGAAGATCTCACTCCTGATGATGTCAGACATTTAATTTTGTATGAAGATGAGCTTACCCAAACCAATCGATTTGAGCAAATTTTTCCAACAAAATATACCCATCCTTATCTGGACTTTTTCGATGTTCCAAGATATTACAATAAATTATTCGATGCTTGGGAAGAAAAATACTCTAATAATCGTGAGAAAGGAATTGCTTTACTCCAAAAACTCTGTCATGAAAAATTTCATCTTGAGCATTCAGTTACCTAGTTAACATAAGTTTAATATTCTTTTGCTTATTGTGTTCAAGTCAATATTTAGGTGATGAATTCATGCATAAATTTACTTCATGTTAAAAACATTTCATGATATTTATAAAAGCCATCGAAAAACAAATCATAACTAATTGTTATTAATTAATGAAATTGAATGTCGAATTAAATTAATTTTTTATAAAAAATTATTGATAGAAATGAATTGATAACTCATTTTTACTGCGATAAAAATTAATTTTAATATAAAATAAATTTTTAGAAATTATTGTAAAATTATAGCTATTTTTACTAGATGAAAATTGTTAAAAGTTTATGTTTATCAATACCAAAAAAAAAACACTCACTCACTTGATCGTTTGAGGAAAAAATTGTAGTCATTGAATATTCATTTAATGAATAAAAAAAAAGCCATCGCCGTATATTTGTGCCTTAAATTAAACTGAAAAGATTGTAATGCCTTTTTGTCTCATTATTAAACTGTTTTCAAATAAATCTAATGTCTCCAACTTATTTACACAATAGATTAAATATACTCTAAGATAAATAGATTCACATTATAAATCACATGAGTTTAGATAATATGTAATCTTATTGACTATAGTCTTACAACTAGTTTTAAAATGGAAGATGAGACATAGCCGTTAAATGTGATATAAAAATAGACATCTTAAAAGAAACTAAGCTGTAAGGTTTCACGGTCATAAAGCAAGTAGGGTTAATAAATATGTACTGACAATTTAATGTCTCTATTGTCATCGCAAAAGAACCAGACGGTCTCCTAAGTGTCTGCCTGATTTGGTTAATGTAAAGTGGTCCAGATTTTTTAGCTTCCGTCCGTTTGAATTCAATTATTATTTCTTTGTGTCAGTTAGAAAGTCATAAATCTTTATTAAAAATCGGAAATGCTTGTGAATCATCCTCCAATCAAGTAGCAGCTATGATTGAATAATTAAATTAATAGAATAATGAATGATCATATTGATTACCTTTGAATAGTAGATGAAATTAGTTAGTGGTTGAAGGGATAAGAACGATTTGATAAGTGAAAATAATTCAAGAGAAGTCATGTAATGTCCTGAGATGAAATTTGCGTTGTCTTCTCAAGTAACAAAAAGTCGTTTGAAGACAATAGGCTCGCACGGAACAGTCAATAAATTGATATCGTTATTGTAACAACATAATAGACATATTTTCTTATTTAAATTGCAGTCTCGTACGTGTGACATACGTGCCGATTCTCCGGCCTTGTCTTTGTCAATGTATATTCATTCATGAGACAGAGCTAAGAGTGCGTATAACTAATATACCTTTTGAATGCATGAGGCTAAGGACCCTTGACTCTTTGCCATTACCAATTTAACATAATAATAAACATCATCATAATCATAATAATAAATAATGATTTTATATATCATAAAATTAAAGCTAAGATAAATTTATTATAGCAGTTAATAAAAATATTGTGGTTACTTTTTATTTGATAGGATGTCCTATTGTAACTTAAAATGTATATTATGCTAATTAAACGGTAACTAAGGGATATACCTGGTGGTTAGTTGATATTTGCATTCGACCAAAACGAAAAAAAAAGTTCTTTCTTAATGAGTGTAAATAAATAGATTGACTTGTCCAAGTGACTGTGGCTGATGATGTCAAAGGACCAGTTGGTGAAATTTTTTTTATTGGAACAATAAGAGGAGCCAAGAGCGATCTAGAGTCTCGTGCCGGCGCAGAATCCAACGGCAGAAGCGGGGGCGTGCACAACTCGAGGTAACGACTTAATAAACTGCTGGCGCGGAAGCCAGGTCGTCGAAAGAGAGGGAGTCAAGAGTAAGATAAGTAGAGGAAGAGAAAGAAATGGAAGACAAGAAGAAAGAAGAAGGCGGGGGCGGCTACTGTGAGCAAAAGAGTTGGCATCGGTCAGGTGCGTCGCGTGCCCACTTTACCGTCTCGTGTTTTGTTTTGGGAAGTCTCGAGCATGCACGTTCCCACGCTTCTGAGGACCCAAGAGTGCTTGGACACTCTCTTCGCATATATAGCTAACATACAACCAATCGGGATTCACAATCACGCACTCTTGGCGCACGACGCGCGTCCGAATCTTTGCCGTCGTCGTGTCTTTATGTCCTTCTGCTGCGCCACGAAGAAGTGCCAAGAAGAAAAGAAGCCGCTCGTGCCCCCGACATATGAACACGTACTTGTCTTTTTATATAACCTTCCTTTTCTCACTGCAAATTCATTCTGAATTCTCACGTCATAATTTTGCTCTTTTTTTTTCTCGTCTGACAGCTCGAGTGTAAAGTAATTTTTTGAGGTCACACGCGGTGACCTCAACTTCCCTTCAAAATTTTGGTATGTATTATTGTACTCGGTAATTTTTAATCTCGCGTGTCTTGATCCTCTTTCCGATGGAAATAATGTTCTTGCATTGATGCAGAATCGCTCTTCACCGCTCGATTCACCAAAGCTTTTAGTTTATGATCCTGCATCACGATATACCCGGCTAAATAATAAAAAGCATGAATTACGTCTACAACAGCTGCTAAAATAAAATTAATTATCAACAGTTGTTAAATGCTTTTTTTTTATTGCATATATAGAATTAAAAAACAACCTTCTCCATTAGCCTCTCTATTACTGATCATTATTGTATGTCTCAATAAAATATAATTAGTATGGAAAGTCATCTAAGGGCCAAATGAAAGGCAGTTATTATTGCATCAACTTTGAATTCAAGTTTGAAATAATAAACTCAATGTTTTCCCACAAATAATTCATGTATCCTTGACGTTTTCTTATAAGTCAATATTAATGTATATTTAATACAAAAAAATATATATATGAATGACGAAATGGAGTAACAAAAATATTTTTTCAGTATAAAAGTATTTCTTCCACTGTTTATTCGGCACAGAGAAAAACATTATAAAATTGATATGACAATTCTTTGTTAATATTTTTCAATCAAATATTAAACAAATGTTTTATCGATTAAATTTATAGCTGTCAAGGCAGAAAACTTTTTTTTTAAATTCCACTATATTATTCTCATATTTAAAAATAGAATAAAAATGTCAGTTAATAATATACCTTTTTATTCTTTACAAAAAATTACCAGACAAGCGTATCCTTTATTGAGGTAATTCTCAATTAATACGATAATAACATCATGTTAAATTCACTACTTCTCAAGCAACAAAATGACTCAGTTGTTTTACTTTGTTGCAAGAATCCAAATCATATACTCTGCAAAATACCTCGACTTTGTAATTCTATAAAAAAATTTAAGGTCATCCATTTTTATGAAATAACTCATAAGAAGTGTAATTTGCATATTTAAAAAAAAAACCTAATAACCATCTGAATGAATTTCTTCCACTTTCATATCAACATGTTCAACTTCACCTTGAACTCTCTTGATTTCGTTGCATTTTGTAGAATGATCCTTATTACTATCATCCATGATAATTATTGGAGCACAAAGCAGTTCTACAGACATAATTATAAATGATTGGAATGTTTAAGTGTCCCTTGAACGACAAATAAAATAATATCACCGCGAAATACACTCCCGCGTTTTTCAAGGACTGAGCATAACTTCACGCCTCCTTACTTCTCTATACCATTCTCCATATACATACGTAGTATGTACTTTTAATGTTTACTTTTTCTTGCGCCTATAAAGACATTCTTACTTCGAAATACCGCAGGCATAGCAAATATCGTCACGCATGTCATTCCCAGAGGTACTAGGTATTGAAACGTTGATGCATGTCAATATGTCATTCGTGGTACTGACCATTGTACTTACAGGATGTACGGTATAGTTAAACGTGATCGTAAACAAGAGAAGGAAGAAACAGACATGTGCGTGATATTTTTTTCTAATCTTTAATTTTAATTGTTCTACTAGTTTCTCCGAAATCATTCAATTATGCATTCCATTCTTAATTACATTACAATCTTTTTAGATATAACTTTCTATATTTTTTATTATTACTAAAAAAATTTTTTTCTTTTATTTTTTCATTAATTATTATTTCCCAACTCAATAAAATCAAACTTGTGCCCATCATTCTGAAGAAAACTAAATTAAATATTAAATGTGGATTACACAAGTTTTAGAATCCTTTATCGTCACTTAAAAACAGTGATTTGTTTTCAAAAAATAATTTAGTCAGCCCAAGTAAACAATAATTTGACTTTTAAAATAAATTTTTCCCAACACCTGTAAGTAATGAATATATCCTGACTAAGAAGTTAATCCCAGTTTCCAAGTCTCATTGTCTGGATAATCTTCTAATGATGCAAAAAAAAATACCCAAGGACCCGTTGTCAAAGACTTAATTAGTTGATTTGTTCAGCTGAGTGAGCTGTTAAAAGTTAAAATGAGGTAATTTGTACAGTTACTTGAATGACTATTAACAAATCGAAGTCGGGTCTTTCCATTCTAAAATTAAACAAAATAGATTGTTAGTTTGATTTATTAAACAATAATTATCAATCTCGTCACACTAACTTGGTTACACATGAGGCTTAATGCTCCAACCGAAGGATTCATTACTTTTGTGAGTTTATTTTTTTACCTGTATCCATGGATCAAAGTCCTTAAGCTTGAGGTGTAAAAAAAAAATTTTTGGATTATTTAAAATAGTTTTTTTTTTTTTTAAATTTAATAAGAACTTAAAGATATCGATATATTATATTAAATATCGATATATTCCAGACTATCGTTTATCAAATCCATTGATACACATACATAAATACTTTTCTACCTTCTTCACCAAAATTATAGTAATTTAATAAACAAAATTTATCAAGATTATCTTTATTGTGCATAATGAATATACTGAAAGACACTATAAACCCACAGAAAAAATTTTATGTGCTTAACAATGACAAAGAGTATTGTATTTTGTCATTTTCTCACTATCACTAATAATTATCACCATAATTTTGAAGGACATAAAGTTTAAACTATTTCATGAAACTCTTTCAAACGTAAATTCTTTCTATTTCTTCTTATGATTACATTCAATTGACGCAAAGCTTTTATTTGGGTCATTTTTTTTCGATGACGATAAATTTTTATTTCTCCACACAAAATGATGAGACTCAGACACATAAAAAGAATTAAAAAAACTATAAGAGGGTATACGTGAAATAGCTCCACTGGTATCCAATATTTCTTCAATTTGTCCTAAAAAATAGAAAAAAAATATTATTTCAATACTTTCAATCCGAATAAATTATAAATTGAAATATCTTAAAATTATAATTACTCCGTTGATTTCTAAGAACTTCAATTCTTTAAGATATTTAGATCTCAAACCATATTCTATTATACGAAGCATTCTGAAAATTGATCAATATTTTAGCCAATTAACTTATAAAAAATTATAAGAATATTATATAATTTACTCACTGAATATTCAGTATTTCCTTCAATGGACTTTTTTTTTGTAAGCCCATGACATAAAAATCCCTCAGTACCGTAGCGACAGTTGTAATTATACATCCTTCTGGAGGATTATATCTTCGTAATATTGTTCTGTACGATAATAATGCATATTTATTTATATTACATAGATTTTGGAATCCTTTGACTTCAGATTGCGGCAAAGATTTCATTTCCTTTAATATTTTTTTAGCCATTTGTGTTTCTAATTTAATCGGAGAGTTCTTGAACAAAAATATTCATTAAAGCATCTCATCACTTTTTTCGTTAACTTTCAAAAATTTATATTTTCATATATATACCGAAAAATCATAGACACGACTAGAGTGAGAAGGCAAAGCTAATCTATAAGTTTTATCCTTTAGAAAATCATTTACAGAATTGAAAGGAATATTAATATTGGAACCGTTTGTTAGACTTTGAATAAGTTGAGCTGAATAAGCTGTCAAAAATAGAACTGATGCTATTTGTATGGTAACTTGAACGATACGAATTGATGTGGAACTTGATGTTCCTGATTCTAAAAAAAGTAAATCAAATCAAAGATATCAAAAGCTTACTTTCAGCAACAAGTTCACACCTTTACCACATATAAGTCCAAAGATTTTGAAAACACAATGAAGAAAACCTGAAGGTTTTGGTTTCAATCGTGTCCATGATTTTAATTTATCATCTGCATCACATACCATCTCCATAAAAAAATATAGAATACTACTGAACATAATTACAATAATGATAAAGATCCAAATCATTTTGTCGAATGGTTTCAAAAATTCAGTCCAATGAATTATTCTATTTGAATTTTTAATGTATAGATATAACCTTTGGAACAAAATTATAAATATAATATTAATTTTAACAGATAAAATTTTATTTAAATTCATGAAAGAGTTCAATACCTAGCTGAAGTAAAAGGCATAGTACTATCAATCAATTTCAACCTCTGTTGGCCCATAAACATTGGTGTGATACTAATATCAGCACTTTTATTAACAAATAAAGCTATAACACCACTACAATTAGAACTATTTTCACAATAGCCTGTATTCGACATAAAAGTAATTTTCTTACTGTAAAAAATTATCTGTCTATAGAAACAGTTAAATAAATAATCTTAATTTATTGATTCACAGACTCACGTGAAGTTCATCGTTTCTGAAAACAAGTCGAAAATTCGCATGAAAAAAATATATTTACTGAAAATACTATTTGATGTTTCAAACATGATCGAAGTTGCCGCCTAATAAGAAATATTAATTATATTAATAAATAATTGAATATGATTCTAAATTTGATACAAGAGTAATTTATATTACGACGGCGCGTAGCTTGAGTCCTTGTAAATTTTTTCTTCGTTGGAAAAAAGATAATTTTTGTGGTATCAGCCCATCTGATGAATCCCAAATTCCAAATGCTTGCAATTTCAACCCTGGAGAATTTCCAAGATAGTAGGCTTCTGTTATCAATTCACTATTTGTTTTATTGATATGCTTTTTTGATACCATAAATTTGCAGTTGACTGGTATGTAAAAATTTTTAAATAATTTATTAATATTAATTTCTTTTTCAGCAAAAATCAACCAAGTGCCATGAGATACATCTACTGATTGTATAAATACCTTAAAAAAATACATCATTTATTTTTATTCATTTTAAAGTAGTAAAAAGCAACTTACTGTAGCTACCAATTGCGATCTTATTTCATCAGAATCATTCAAAATGATAAACAATGGGTTGGTCATTTTACTGATATTTTCACCAATCTATTAATTAAATTATTATTAATTTCTTTCAAATTCTAAGCAAATTTTTTTAATTATTATAATAAATTATTACATGCAATGGAAATCTTCTGAGATCGATAGTTGTAGTTTGTATTTGAAATTTACGAGTGAAGAATAATTGAATATCGATGATTCTTGTTACTGTTTCAGTGTCTAAATTAAACAAATCCTATATAATACTCTATGTTTGATTATTTACTTTTATTGCTACTCACCTAAAGCTTGAGAGTCATAATGAGATAAAAAAATTAATATAATAGACATGCAATGATAATGGTCATATACACTCTTTACAACTTTTTTATACACATCATCAGGTCTTATCAGTGTATTATTAACTAATTTTAACAAAATTAGGTAAATGAAACAATATTTAATCATCTTCATTTTATTCAAACATATTTTTTCTATACACCTGGACAAATGCTTGAGCAAACTAACTACAATTGGTGAAAAATATTGAAGTACATCAGATTATTTGTACTTTTCAATTCTAGAACTATGTGACAAACAAAGGTGTTCAATCTTTATCTTTATAGCATCGAAAGTTATTGTATTGAAAAAAGTTTAAAACTATATTTATTGATTCTGAAAATCGAGATAAAATTCAGTGCTTTCGTTCGTCCAAAATCTTTATGTAGTTTTACGTAATTGACGTGGAGCTTTTTTTAATATTCGGTTCGTTCTTTTCATTCTGTCATCAATCATTATTTCTCCATACAATAAAATAAGACTTGAAATTATCATAATAATAAAAAAAATATTGACAGGATAGACGTGAGAGAGTTGAACTGGTATCCATTTATTTGTTAATCTTGTTCTAGTTAGTTCTGGCTTTAAATTATTGATTATTCGTTGTACAAATCCAAATTCGTGCATACGATAGAACCTAACAAATATTTAATTAAATAAAAACAAAAATTACTTGAATAATCAAAAGATACTTTACTGATAATTAATAACTTCTCGGAAGGGACTTCTTTTTTGCAGCCCCATTGAATAGTGAACTGTCAATACAGATCCAATAGATAATACTTCACAGTTATCAGGAAAATTATATCTTTTTAATATTCCTCTATATGATAAAAATCCACATTTATAAATATGACACATCTGTGTTAGCCCTTCCACTTCAGATTTTGGTAACGATTTTTCTTTCAATATCTTTGCTATTATTTTCTGCTCTTGTATAACAGTAGAATTCTTAGATAAAAAATGGTAAGATACTAACAAGTTCTTTTTATTATACAATTCATATATCTGCAAGCACTTACTAAAAAATCATTCAAATGATCAGACCACACAGGTATTCTTAGCCTGTACGTTTTATCATTCAGAAAATCATCTACAGAAGAAAAAGGAGGTGTCACCATGATACCAGTGGTTAGAGATTGAATGAGTTTAGCTGAATAAGATGTTACAATTAAAACTGAAGTTATTTGTATGGTTACTTGAATTGTTCTCATTGGTGTCGACCGTGATTTACCAGTTTCTAAAAAATACCAATTACTCCAGTTACATAAGTATCTCCAAGTGTAGTAATATTCCATGTTTATTAAATATAATTATATTATACCTTTTCCACATATTATACCAAATACTTTAAACATACAATTAAGAAAATTAGGAGTCTTTATGTTCAACCGTGCCCATGATCTTAATTCATCATCTGTATTATATATCATTTCCATAAGAAAAAGAATAATACTACTTAACAACATTACAATAATTATAGAAATCCAAACGTCAAATTCAAAAGGTCTGAGATATTCTTTCCATCTTGATTTTTGGTCAGGTTTCTTCATATACAGAAACAACCTTAAAAAAAAACTTTATTAATAAAATTTTCTAAAGTAATACTCAATATTACATAATATGAATGTAAACATACTTGTTTGAATAAAAATTCATAGTCATATCGATATACTTGAGTCTATTGCTTGATAGAATTATGGGTGAAAAACAAATATCAATATTTTTCTTAACTAGTTCAGACATGACACCAGTGCATTTTGTGTCACTTGTACAATAGCCAAGTAAAAGTTCCCATTTCATGATTGGACTTGAAAAAAATATTTTAAATTAGTTTACATATTATCTGATAGAACTTGTTAATGCTCACGTAAAATTCATCATTTCTGATAGAGGTTGGATCATTTCAAGAAAAATGAGATTTTCTGAATAAATAGAATTTTTCGGTTCATATAGTATCGTTGATATCTGAAATGATAGAATAATTATATCAAATAGTTGTACAAAATAGAATTTCAAAGAATAGAAATATTTTTTTATTACAGCAGCACGAAGTGGTAGACCTTCTAAATTACTTCTGCGTTGCAACAAAGATAATTTTGGTGGTATTAATCCAGTATCTATATTCCATGATCCATAAAGTTGATATTTCAATTTATTCCCAAGATGATAAACTTCTATTATTGATTCACCTTTAGGTTCATTAATATTTTTCATTGTTATCAGTACTTGAAGATTATAAGGTATAGAAAAATTACTACAGAATGTTTTAACTTCTGTGACGTCTTTAAAGAAAATAAGCCATGTGCCTCGTAGTGATAAGCTTGCTGATGGCGTAAATATCTAAAAATATTCGAATGAACGTATTCACGAAAATTAATCAAATTCTAATTACGTCTTTGGGTTTTGAATGTGAAAAATATTTATCAGACTTGAATGTTTGTTATTGACCTCTGAGTCAATGTAGATATTAAAAGTATGACTTCATCGATATTTGATCACTGAAAATACTTACTGTTGTTGCTAGTAGCGATTTTATATCATCCAAGTCATTTAAAATAATAAAGAGTGGATTCGTCATTTCTTCAATATTATTGTTGATCTGTTTACCACATGATCGTTAATCAATGAAACAGTAAAAGTCATTAATCAGATAATATTGGTAATGTAACCTTACTTGTAATGGGAAATTTCTGATATCAATTATCGTTGTCTGAATATGAAGCTTTTGGCTAAGAAATAAATTCAGTGTCATCAACTTTGTCTCCATCTCTAATCCTAAAACCAACAATAATCTTTAGTTATTTAAAATATATCTATAAATAATTTAAACTTACCTAAAGAAGTAGTTGAATGTAAAGAGGATGCATAAATTAATGTAATAGATTTGCAGTGGAAATAATCATATATACTTTTTATAAGACCTCCATATACGTCATTCGATCGAATTATCATTGCACTATTTTCTGACATTGACAAAATTAAAAATAAAAATAACAATTTGACAATTGACATTATTTTAATTAATTTATTCCAATGAAATACCATCATTTAAATTGAATGATGGCGTTCAGTATCAGACTCAGTATTGACAGTTTAACTCAACTCTACTCTAAAAAATGAAGTCATCATTTTTCACGGGTGATTTTCTCTTTACCTAAGCTATAATTAAGTATCGTAAAAAAAACTTGTGTTTGTCTTATCTGTTCATTAATAATAAATAAGCTAAATTGTTTCAATTTTTTAAATAAATTATCAGAGCCAAATGATAGTAAATTACAGTAATCTGGGGTTGTACATACATTTTAAAAACTACAATATATCTTTTAGATGTAATTTTTGATAATTCGGAAAGAAAAAAAAAGTTGATAAGACAATAATTTTATGCAAAACTGTTATTTCTCATTGTGAAGAGGAGTATTTAAGGTTCACTATCTGAGGGAAAACGAAAACAATAATTAAAGAAAACATTTTTGCTCCTCTCTTGATTGTACTGATTAAGGCAGGTAGTTTGCAAAATGGTCCATGAGTATAGATAATTTGGAATAAAACGACGTCTTCCTCTGATACTTCACATTGCATCGGCCCCTTCTCTCTTATTCGTCCGTTAACCAATGAGATTCTGTCGTATTAAACTCGCGTCCCCCTCACGATATCGTGTGTAAAGGCATGCGCGCTGCACGTGTTCTTCACTCATAAAAGCCTAGAAGGATTCTTAAAGTTTTTCGGTTCCCACGATACGAAAGTGCGTCAGGTGGCTAGCGCGTTGCTGTCTTTCACCTCTCTCTCTCTCTTCTTTAAGGGAGAATTGCTGGCGTCTCCCTCCAAAATAGATGTAAACTTTTCCCCACCTCAAGAAATCATTCTTTTTTCTTTCTTGTCTCGTGTATCAGCTCGTAAACATCCCGACCCTGGCACCATTTCGTGCTTCTTGCATATTTGTTGACGCCGGCGACTACTTTGCTCGTCAAATCGCCTGGATGACTGCGGAATCCTTTTTTCTCGAGAGAGAAAAAACCGGAAAAAATACAACCGCGGTCATCATTTCAAGTAATATATTTTCCTTACACCGTTGGCTTCTATTTTATGAGAATTTTTAAAAGGTTTAGTCATTAAAATAACTCAAATCATTCTTTACTTGCATAACAAGAAAAATATCTTTAAGGAAGGAAAAGGGGTTTTTTGGGCATTTTTATTGGAAAATTCGATCGTTATATTTTTTATAGCTCCTAGAAAAGCTATTTACTACTGGTATAAAGTAGAGGAACATGGAGAAGATCAAAAAGCTTAAGATTCCTTCAAATTCTTGATGACATGTCTTTTAAAAAACCTGTCCCATGTATAATTTATATCTTTTTTCATTTTACTGTGATATATTATTTTTTCAATTCTAAACTTTAAATGAGTTCACATTTTTTTATCATCTTTTTTTTCTTCTTTTCTATTCATTTTTCGGTACTCCACATTGCCGACGTGTTTTTGCCCTTTCAAATATCCCAATGAGTTTCTTTTGCGTAGCGACAACGCGGGGGAGCATTCCCACGAAGTCTTGAATTTATTGAGTCAACTCAAAAGAAACCGCACCTATTTTTGTACAATCTGTATGTGTATAACAGTCTATTTCTCTTCTTTGAATTTTTTCTCAACTGTGAAACCAAGAAAATTCACTTAAACTCCCATGAATCCATCAAGAAGAGGAAAAATATCCTCAATTAAAGATACATCAGAGTAAACAAAATAAATAATGGTAGTGTTGAAAGAAAGGAAAATTTCAAATCATTTTCTTTAACTCATCTGCCCATTCTACACCTCTAGAAGTGCTTTGTCATGACGATATATGCTTTTTTCTAGTCGTCAAAGTTGAGTGCAAAGATAAGAAGTAAAGTGAAAATAATACAAAAGGTACAAAAGTAAGAGAGAGAAGGAAAAATATAGAAGAGAAGATCTCACGGTGAGACTGAAAGTGTGCTGCTCGCGTGGCGGTTACAGTGGCTGAAATCTGATGACATTGGAGGTGATACGAGTTCATAGGACCAAACATTTCACAGTTCTCACGGTGAAAACGTCAGGTGCAGGACCTCCTTCAGGAAGTACAACGGTTCCTTACAAGGATTCGCGACTTCTGTCTTCCCCTTCCTACGGTTGCTTCTTTTCTCCCCTTTTTCCGTGTAATATACACTACACTAAACCTACACACCGTCTTCCTTCCCACGCTCTGAGCGTCCTTCTAACGGACAGATTCGACTGTTCCTTGTTTGAAGAAAAAAAGGTGTGGGTAAAAGAGGCATAATGCACTTCTATGAATTTTTTCTTTTTCTACAAAACTGTTTCAGAAGTTAATTGAAGGTTTTTTTTAATAATTGCTGTTTTCTTAATGATACATGAAGAGATTCCATTAAATAATTGTATTAATTAGAAAAAAATATATATATAATGATACTCTGTAAGCTATACTACATAAAAATCTGACCTAATTAAGATGCAGAAAAATTGAATACTTTTTTTCTCAAGAAAATAATTAACAAGGAGCATGATTTAATTATAAAGTATACGAAAGAGTGAGAAAGAAAGAAAATAATAACAAATAAAATTTTGTATGCATTTTTTTTTTGTGAAATTTCAAATAATCTTGATCCTGAGTAAAAATCCCACAGCGCTTGTATTCTTATAGAGTATCCTTAGAAAAATTAAATGAACCACCTGGTCTGGATCTTTTGACCACAGTGAGGCAGCCACGCGACGGACACGCTCTATGCGTTCTAAATCGTAACTTCTGTCTTTCAAACGCGTGGGAACTTTTTTTCCTCAATTCTTCATCCTTCTATCCTCTCGATTGTCGATCTAAATAACCGCTATTTCTACTTGTATTTATTCAACTTCCTTTATCCTGAATAGAAGAATATATACAACTTCAAAAGGAATGATTTCTTTTCAAATAAACTTCCTTAAACATTAATCGTTGCATTTTTCCGATACACACAAATGTCATTTACATATATAAGAGGCGACTAAATCAGTTGCTAAATTGGACAATACCACGAATTTATTATGTGACAAAGAAAGAAATAGATAAAAGAGAAATTAACCACGTGTCTACCACACTTCCTGTAGTACCAATGAGTCTGACTTTAAACTTAATTCTCTACTTCAGCTTGAATATATTTGTGAAGCTACTTTTGATGTTTTAGCGCACTTGTTGAACGTCAGAGACCGTAACGACCATGATGTACACCGGACATTCAGAAACATACAATTTCAAGAAAAAAAAACCACCTACCACAGCTAAAAATCTCAGATAATAAAAAAAAAATCGTGAGAAATAAATTTTTTAAATATTATCTCTAATCCACGTGCACGATTTATTACCCAGATTATAGCAAAAATTACATTTTTATCAATATCATATTGACACATAATGTGTTTTTAATAGTAGCATGTATGTATATATGGGTTTCTAATACTGAGTTTATTTTATTTAATTATAATCTACTGTAATTAGAAATGAGTATGGTGGGATTTTGTAATACTTCCTTTTTTATAAATAAATCAATGTCTTGATAAAAAATTCGAAAATAATTAAATGATAATTAAAAGTGATTTAAAAATTAATAATGGATTTACTCAAATAATCAACAATTATTTTCATTTAAATAAATTTGTTAAAATATTTTTTCTAGGTCGAGAAATAGATTTAAGATTTTTGCCAAACAAAACCGACATGACTCACTTGTAAAAATAATACCAGAATTGATTATTACTTTTTGGAGTGACGGAATGTACAAAATACGATATTCGAAGCGAAAGAAAAATAATATATTATTTGATGAACAAATGACTCTCACTTAGACCATACTTTATTTTTCGTGAAAATTACCCACCTCGTAACTAAAAAGCCCTTTATGTATTTTTATATTTTTTAGTTGAATTAATGCGTAAATGTACTGGCGTGCAGTTAGCAGAAAACATGACAAGACACGGAATAAAGAAAACATGTAATTGTAGTAAAAACGTAGTGATGTCCAGTACTGCAATTTATGAACAACGTTGATAACCGGATGTACGGATTTCAAAAGTTAATTCATCTGTATACGCGCACGTGTCCCTCTGAATTTTCGATCAACTTGCGCGACCACCAGCACTTGAGAATTCAGGCCAGTTTTTTTTTCCTAAATTTTTTTATCTTCAACTTTATTATACCGCAACCGGTCGCTTCGTTCGTACGTTTTTCTCCTCGTCACTTTGAAGACGTACAAAACCGCAGATCCTGAAATTTTCAATATCCAATCGACAATTTTGAACGAATTGCTATAGAATATAAAAACTTGCACAAAAAAATTCATTTTTAAAGGAAAGAGAATTCATTATTGTAACGTGACACTTGCAGGATATTGAAATTTACATTGAATCGAATTTCTTATTTATAAACAGAAAGTCGTCAACAATTTTATGTAAGATTATAATAATCATTCTATTTTTTATGTCAACTTTATATGGAAAATTATATGAGTGAAACTTTTTATATAATTGATTTTATTTGGATGAATGTCATGTAAAGAATATTATCAACTCAATAACATGTTAACATCTTCAGCTACAATGTAATATTATTTTTCAATTTATAAAGTTAATGATGGAACAATAACAAGAAAGTTACAATTTTCTTTATAGAGTTGTATTTTTTTATATCCTACCATTTTTAAATAAAAATAATCAGCAGAGAAACTGTTTTACAATTGATTGCATTCCAATTCTCATCAAATACATGTATGTTGCAAGATATTTTAAAAGTCATTTGTTTGGTTATTACAATGTGACACATTTTAAATAAATCGTTTTTCACTCTAAATTGAATTATATCAGTTTAAAAAGATTCCTGTTTTTCGAAAAATTCTTTGTCAAATTTAATTTCAAATAAAAGTCATTATAATAAAAATAAATCTATTATAAAAGTAAAACAGTTGGTCTGAGAATTAGAACATAGGAATTTTAACACCTTATTTTTAATGACAGTTATAAATGACATTATGACACTCAAGTGAGAACATATACGTATACAAGTTTTGTTCTGTCGCAAAATATTTATTTTATGTAAACACAATAAAATGTCGAGCATATAAGATAAAAAAAAACAGTAAAAAGCATAGATTATAGTGGTCTATAATTTCATCATAAATAATGTATCAATAACTTCAGCATCAGTAACAGTAGTGTAATAACGGAAACTAAAAGATAAAATTAATAGGCCGGATATTGATGGTGAGACATTTATTTGCATAATGTCAGTTTAATTAAGATAAAAAATAAATAAGATAATATCCGGTATAAATAATTCAAGTTTTCAAAAAATCCTTAAAGATTGAACATTTATACTCCATTCTCCATTCACAAAATCACGATGATTATGTAACCAATTGTCCAGTTCCATTCAATTGCCATAGATTTCCTATAATTTCATATTCATGAGAGTCATGAGCAGTATAGTGTATAACATTTCCGTGGAGGATTGACTGAATGAAGATAAATTAGCAAAAAGAACGCACTTTTTAAGATATTTACTCATGGTATTAATAAACCGGAAATTAAAATATCGTGTGTGGTCAAAAATTCATTCATTCATCTTGGTATAGTTTCCAGTATCTCAAAGACACGTCATCTCATCACGAAATTGAATCTCTATCATTAAATAAATGACAGAGAAATAATTAGCCTTGATTTCGAACTTAAACAGATATTTATCCAATAAAAACGATAAAATTTCTTCTTTCACTGGGACATTAAAATGTCATTTCCGAAAGCAGGGACTCATTTGTAAAATAATGAGAGGTTTCAACCCAAGCCCTCAAAGTGCTGGATGAAAAACCGCGGAATCGAACGGTACTTCAATCCAAAAATAAATTATCCACCTGCAACCTCTTTCGTATATTATTATTATTCTGCAATAATATCACTGATAGAAATTGATAAATAATCATATCAATATCGAAATAATCATTATTATGATCCTTAATGTAGTTTCATTACTCCAAAAATACCATAATATATATTTTCAACTGCCTCACCAAGTACTCTAAAAATTGCTCTAAATTAAATCGAAACCATTTACTTATATTTTATTCATTCTTTTAATTTTGTTTTCAACTTCAATTGGTATAATAATATAATTGCTTAATAGGTTGATGAGACGTAATTTCAAAAGAACCAATTCATGAGAACTCTGATAGTGATGATTTCGGGCGATTTTATTTAATTACGGTACGCCTTAGTTCAATTTATTACAGGTATGTATAATAGATAACGAATAATTAGTATTATCATGCTGAGAAATTACGACTGATTAGATCACCCATTAGGTTTACTCCAAAATCTTAGGTTCATCATAGTTTTTTAGAGCAATAAAATATTTTTTTTATCATACTAGAAATGTTACACAAAAGCTTGTAAGATTAATTTAATTTTTAATTTTTCCACTCCAATTTCAAGTGAGATTGATCATCACTCTATTTGATCGAGAAAATATCTGTATAAAGTAAGTAAAGAAGAATAAAAAAAAAATAATAACAATGAGGGAATACGTTTTATATCATCTTTTGTGGTACTGGCTGCACCAATCAATTCTCCTTTCACCTTGATGGTCTCCCCTCTGATTCAAAAGAAAATCCTCATTGCTCCAATCCGAGTTTACTCCCTCGTCCTCCATGTTACCTAGACCAAAACGAATCTCAAAGAGAGGAGGAACCAGAAGGGAGAAAGGAGGAGCCATGGGGTGTGCGCGTGTCTTGATAATACAGACGAGGACTAAACTGCACTTACACATCCTTAGATTCATTCGTCCTTACAATACCTCAACGATTGACCTACACAAATGCTTGAAAGACAGTATCTATAGACACCATACTGTTATATATGTTCAAGGGGAGACGATCGTGCGTGGTACACGCTTAGCCGTGCGCAACGCGTGCGACATAGGGCCTTACTAGTTACCTTAACCTCCCCCTCCTTAATTGTATGCGTGCAGAAAGCTGTGCGTTTCAACGCACAAACGGAGGAAGCAAGAAGCTCTGGCATCAGCAAGCCGCTGCAAAGGCTACCGTGAGAACGAGGCGAGGCATCGCGTCCCACACGGGCCCTTCAGCCGGCACGGGGCCCAACATATTCAGTGTGTGAGGGGCCCGCCAGCCAGAGGGAATGAGATCTGAACCTCAACACACTGATACATAACACACAACGTGCTCACCACGCGAGACGAATGCGAGGACAAGGGAGAGAGAGGGTCACAGGCGCGAGCCTTACACGCGACTAGCACACGTCTCATCTTCAGTCGCGACACATCAATCTTTTTTTTCTTTTGTTTATCCAATGTCTTGCGCAAAAATCTCTTCCAATAATTTATCCAAATATTAATAATTCAATTTAGTCCATCAGTTTAAGTAACACTTTGAACTGAAAAAAATATATTATTTCTCAATAAATGAAGTAACAAAATTCTTCTTTCATTCCAATAACTTATTTCATTCATACAATTCTCGTACTCAATACAATTCATTTCCTGCCTCCATTTTATCTCATTTCGTTGAATTAAATATTTGGAATATCATCATTAAATTATCAAGTTGAACTTATTAATAAACATGATATCATCAATGAACCGTCGACTTCCGGTCGAGTTCCGCAAACATATATATTCAACAGAGGAAGTTTATCCGCTACATGCATACATACGAGCTCAAGACTGGATTAGATCTTGAAGAAAATTCTTATCTCGTTGGCGATAAAATAAAGAAAACGTATAATCCTGACAAAGAGGAAAAAGGCATGAGCCACGATCTATTATGCCTACACTGGTGTCATTCATATAAAGTTATATGTGATGATGAGAGGAGCAAAGGGAGAATGAATTTCATTGACGTAAAGCCGCGTGGAGTCGGCGGACGTACATCATGCCGCGAGTTATAAACACTCGCACGCTCCTCTCGTGTCGTAATTGAAGCCGATGGGCGATAAGACAAGTGATATACAAGTTGGAGTTGTGCACACTGCAGTCTCTTTCGATAATATTCGTTACTTAATCATCGACCATGATAAGACTTTAATACGATAAATAAATGCAACCTCATAATATCACTAATTATTATTTTTGTTCTTAGTAATGTTGAGTCCGTGTCATATTAACACGGTGGAAATTGTTTAATAAATAATTACAAAAACAATTAAAAAATTGTGTCAATCAATTTAATGATTTTTATTTGGATTTTAATTAAAGAATAGACATAAATATTTCTTATAATCCTCATCTCATAACTCGTATATTAATAAATGCGTGTATTAAATAACTATCGTGTTCCAGTCTTTGAAATCACGACTTCTGACGTGGTCTGAAGTGGAATAACAAGTATAAGTTTGTACAGGAAAGAATAAGCAAATGATAACGTTAATGGACAAGATGTTCACTCCGTTAATAAAAGTTATGGGTTAGTAAACGGGATTATACTTTTAGAAATTCCTGATAGTTACGTGACAAGAGTTGCTTGAATCTTATGAATGTGCCTATCAACCCTGTCTATTATCGAAACGGTTATTTAGACCTTAATATTATTACATAAACACCTTTAACATTAACTTCAGCTCGTTTTGCTGGCAAGAATTTAAATTACTCTGGTGTATTCCTAAAAGAAATTTTATATAAAAAGCAAAATCATCAGGAGAATAATTTTTGCAACTGTTTGATCATTTTTTCTTTTAATTACATTTACATTAATTTCAAATTTACATCTATCCATCACTTTATAAATTAACGTGCTCATCAATAATGACGTTAATTAATATTATTAATTATTTTTATAGTGATTTATCTATTCATAGAAGCACAGATAGTTTTATTGAATGATGTATAATTATAGAGTTTGATTTATTCAATTAGAAATCATAGATGATTAATTAAATTTGTTGTGTAAAAATGATTATTAAATAGTGGTGTCTCTGAAAAAGATCATTTTTTCATTTTGAATGAATGATATTGCCTGAAAATATTTTTTAGTCAATCAATATTTTATGCCATGTCGTTTAAAAATGTATTTATCTACAAAAAAATAAAAATTCAACAGTAAATTAAAGAAACGACTGAGTTCATTGAGTACTTCAATAGAACAAAAAGGTCATAAAACATATCAGGATCAAAATTGATTTTATCGATGATTAATTTAAAGGATATTCGAATAATAAATTGGCGTAGCAGGAGGGAACATTCAAGAGAGCAAGAGAATAAAATGGTAACAGATATGTAGATACGTTTGGTGTATAGAGGGTTTGAAGTAAGCGAGGGGGAGAGTCCGTTGGAATGGCTGCCCGGAGTATCGTGTCAGTTGGTGTAGAGACTTCATGGAGAGCACTCGTCGTCTAATGTCACTCAATTCTTTGCTGTCAATTACTGTCTTTTTATTCATCCACTTATCCGGTTGGAGCTTGACATTGACACAGTGAAGCCAAGTGTGATTGTGAATATCAAGATTTTTTTTTAAGTTTAATTTGCGATGATGGCGTATGATTATCCTCATCCAGTATCGAGAACTTATCAGTACAAAAAGGTATGTTAGATAATTTAATTTGTATTTAACTATAATTTAATGAATCCTATTTAAAGAAACGTTTTAACTCTTTTTGTGAGAAGCAACAAATAATTTTCTATAATAAAATTTTTTAAAATGTTTGTTTTATCAAGAATATGTCTAATGATTGTTGATTTGTTTTGTTTAATTTTTTTTATAGGTAACAAAACCATTATTGGAAAGAAAAAGGCGCGCACGAATTAACCGATGTTTGGAAGAATTAAAAGATCTCATGGTGGATGCTCTTGAGGTTTGGATTGTTTTATAATATTTAAATGATTATTAATAAATTTGCCATACATTTTTCCTGTATTAGTATTAATCTGCAATAATCAAGTTCTATCAAAAAATGAAAAAATAGTAATTGTTGGAATTTTAATTAAATTAAAAATATTTCATCAAACTTTTAGACGGAAGGAGAGAATATAAGCAAATTAGAAAAAGCAGACATTCTTGAACTTACCGTACGTCACCTTCAAAGGCTCCAAGCATCTAGACCGTCTGGATTATCTTCCACAATCTCAAATGAAGATGCAGTAGCTGAGAGTCGATGGCAATCTGGATTCGGGCACTGTGCAGCCGAAGCATGCAAATATCTCGCGTCACTTCCTGGAGAGTCTGGAGAAAAATTGGCTCGTCATCTTGCCACTGGATTGCAATCTGCACAAAAAATGACTCTACGAGTAAGCATTTCTCCATAAAATAAAATAACAAATGATTCAATAAAATATTTCAATTAGAAAAATTTTATTTAATGTTTTAATTAATTTTTACAGGTGAAATCAATGAAGGGAGCATCTGCCTCTCAAGGAAAGTCTGACATAAACACTCATCAAAATGTTCCAGTTTCATCTTCCGTTGATGCTTCATCATCATTATCATCAGTTATAACATCTAGACAAGTGACGTCTCCAATAAATTCACCATCATTTTGCGAGAAGTATAAGGAAGTCAATGATGATTATCCGATTTTAAACAATGCTCCTATTGCAACGGAAGTCATTGATTCACCGTACCCTCAACCAGTTCATTCTCCACCACGAATTCCAGTTTTGAATCACCATGGGACTGATAGCAACCTACAACAAATTCCTGTGATAACTGAAAAAATGGAAAAATGTGATGATGATGAGGAAATTGATGTTGAAAAAATTGATGAAATGGATCCGATGTGGAGACCTTGGTAATTTTGATAAAAAACTAAAAAAAATATTTTTGTTATGGATTGAAGTATTTGTTATTGACACATATTTATGCTAGAAATGGGCAAATGCGATATAGTTTATTAACAAGCTTAGAATAAATATTTCAGTTTAAACATGTTAAGTTTTATCTCTAATTTGATAAAAAAAATTGTTAACATCTTTTATAAATACTTCAGTTCAGAGAGTTTATGCTTGAAATTTTTATACAATGTATCTTTAGTAAGACGTCTTTATGGAGCGTCGGTTAATCATTTATGGGATAGCAATTAATATTATCATAAGTTTCAGAATGATAAGTAAATAACTAAGTGGTAAATTACGTATTTAACTATACTTTTTAAAAATGATAACAATTCATAAAGTTATTGAAAACATTTGGTACAAGGCTTTAATTGAATAAGAATAGCATTCTGAGTGAAGAAATATCTTCAATACAAATATATTATAACAAATATTATCTTAATTCATAAAATCTAAGTAATTTACAAACATGTCTTTATTATCATTTTGAATTCTTTCACATTTTTGTTTATCAGTTTTCTTTGTATTTACAGTGATATTAAAATTATGACTTTGCTGCCCAGTTTAATGAAGTTTTTCAGATATTTTCAAAACAAATTACTTTTGTATTCAACAATGAACTAGATTTTTTAAGATTAATATTATATTGTCATTTATTGAATCGTGATATGATATGCCTGTGATTGAAAAATAAATTGAATTCATATATTCATTAATTATTGATTAAATTATTCAAAAAACTCTATAAAATATTTACCATGAATATACTTAAAATTTTTAGAAATACTTTTTTAAGATTATTTTTTTAAATAATCATCAAATAAATGTATATTTTTACGGAAAAATAATATGAGTCCATTCACAAAATTCATTCGCGCCAAATACTAATTAGGTTATGTCCGATGCTTTCATCCGTACCTGTAGGTATTACAGTTTGTATCTTTTATTTTACCTACAATAAGTAAATTCTTCATTACCAACAGAATGATCTAATTAGTTCAATGAACGACAAGAGAGCGTTCAATCATTAACCTTATAAACCATGACCGTGAACTAAAAACAATAAATATTATTATTTAAATAACCAATCAACTCTAGTCGGTTTAATTTTAAAAAGTGAAATTTGATTGCTTTTATTTTTTTGATTTATTACCCATATTTATCTATCATCTTAGGAATATTATATACTGATAATTTAATATATTATGTTAAATATCAAAAAATAGACTGTGACCTGCCTGATGAGAAGAAGAGGGAGAAATACTTTCTCTAAATTATTCCACACCTGTTTGGCTTCTCCATGTGGATTCTAAGATTCAGATAACAGGCAATGTCGACAAAATCTCAATGAATATATTGGGTTTTTTGTTTATTACTGGGACTTTATTAGTCCTAGTATTATGTGAAACTACCAGACCTTGGTACGAAACCCTTCCAGCGGTGGCAATGGATTACAAAGTGCACATTGATGCCGGCAAAGAGGATTGTTATTTCCAGTATGTTAATCCTGGAGCAACATTTTATGTCAGTTTTCAGGTACGTAAATACAAGAAAATTATTTTTCACTATTATTGTGTTGGGTTAATTAATATTTTATGAAAAATACTAACACTATTTGATACAAATTATATCTTTTTTGGTATCAATTACTGCCACGTCATGTGACTTCGAACCAAACCATATGGTAGTGTTGATGTTTAACTGGATCTAATTTTACTCATTGGAATTTCGTGAATAGAAATTTAAAATTAAAAATTCTAGGTTTTGAAAGGAGGTGACGGAAAAGCAGGGTTTGCAGTACGAAATCCAGCAGGAGAAATTGTACATCCATACCAATGGCGTGAAAGCGCAGATTATCAAGATCAATCAGGAGTAGGAGGATATTACAGTGTTTGTATTGATAATCAGTTCTCACGGTTTGCAGCAAAGCTCGTTAACTTGTACATCACTGTTATTAGGTAAGATTTTTTCATACTCATCTTGAATTAACCAACTCAAAATAAAAGTCATTGTACTGGAACATTATAAATTTTATTTAAAAGATACGACCAATGGGACCGATTCACGAAGGAATTAGAAGATATGAATTTATCTGTAGAAAACTTCACGGTAAGATTTTATAAATTAAATATTGTATTTTAATTAATACGATATTAAACTAAACACATTTACAGAATACCCTTGTGAATGTTGAGAAGAATATAAACGATATGTTACAAACGCAACATTTGAGTCGGGGTCGTGAAGCAAGAGATATGAATTTACTTTTAGATAATAATTCATATGTACAACGATGGTCACTGATACAGATAGTTGTAATCATTGCTACTACTGTACTGCAGGTATATTTCGTTAAACAATTATTTCAAGTACAACCATCTGGAACATCTAAAGTTCGTATTTAAATTGGACTGTTTCGAAATACTATCACATTCGTGTAAAGAACAAAAAAAAACAGTATACCTTGCTTGAATGAAGTTTTCGTGATAAAATTATTGATAATTTGTAACCATTATCAATAATTAATAATTATAAATATTTTTTATATAATATTTTCAATTAAAAAAAATAACATTTAAAAAAAGTAAATGACTGAGTATTGATATAATCTTTTTTAGACACTGATATTTGTATGTTTCAGTCTATTCTTTGGAAAAAATATACATTTATTTTAAACATTTTTAGAGATTTATCATATTTTATCTACAGATTTATATAAATATATATAAAGAGTACTCTTACATTTCAACATGTTCTACGCATTTATTTACATTATATTCGTATTATTTATTCCTAAGAAGTATAAATGTTAATAAAAAAACATTGATAAAATAGAATTTATAATTTCTAAATTTTTTTAATGAGTTTCGTTAAACAAGTGCAATAGAATAATTTTTATGTACATAACAAATTTACATATTAAATAATAATTTACATAATGTAATTTCGTTTATTATTAACAATATCTTGCATATAACAAGGAAGCCTTTTTTATTACACTTTTTACTCTATAATTAAGATATCACATTACCGAACGGTTTGTTTAGCATAATGTAGAAGAAAACTCTCACTCAATGCAAGCAATCGATGTCGTTGTCTTAAATTTCTTGCACGAACATGCTCTGAAGCAACTTCTTTAGTATAATTTCCTGGGAACCAACCTTGTTCACCTCCTACTAGTTTTTCTCCAAGATTCCATCCATCAGCCATTTTTCTGAGAACGTTAATCACATCTCCTGTTCAATAAATTAACGTTATTCAATTACTCATGAAATTCTTATAAAATATTACTAATTGTGCCTTTAATACATTGAGAAAAATAATTCTCTTAGACTGGTATGAGTGTCATATCTGACACTCGAATGCTTATTAACCTGTTTATTTATTTAAAAATATTTCTATTCAAGCAATTAAATCAATTACAATCTTTTTGTTTAATAATTCTTTTAGTTATTATCATGCTAATTTAATTATATCCTCTTGGCATGTGATACACATTATTTGTGTTTTAATGAAAGAATCAAAGTATCACGTCACATACCTGGCTGAAGAGATAATTCATCAGGTTGAACTGGAGTATAAGAATACAAAGCCATAACTTGAGGACAATCCCATGTTTCATATAAAGTTTCACCAACTAAACTAGGCTTCGGGGGAGACACTGCATCAAGCCACCTTTCTCTCTCAGTCGCATTTTGACATGATAAAATATATTCAACATGTCGTCCACAATAATTCTCAAGCAATGTCAGAATCATCGCGTGTCTACCAGCGAAAGGAGAATCATCCGGCACCTTTTCTAAGGCAACTACACTTCTTCTGCATGAATCTATGACGAAATAAATTTCATCTTGAGCACTAAAAATAAATATTAATATTTAATATTATTTACATTAAATATTAATTTTGCAACTGTAATAAAGATGATTTACTCACTTGGACTTCAATTTAGTAACAAGAAGATGATCTGTCATCAGAAGAAGATAGAGAGGAGTTTTATTATATTTTTTTCTGAATGTCAATACATAATCAGCGCCTGGTTTAGCACAAATCTGTGTGACAGGTCCACTGCGCACGAGATATCGATCCCGTAAATCGATTGGAGGAACTTTAACTGAATATTCTAATTTTTTTGCCAACATCTTCATTTCGATCAATCTTCCTGCTATTCTAGCACCTTCATTACAGTCTGTTACAACTTTACTTAGCACAGATAAAACTTTCTCCCAATTTAATCTCTCTTCATGGTCCGTAGATAATTTTGACAAGACAGCATCAGCTAACAGAGGTAACCTGGTAACTCGTTGCATTGGCAGCATTAAAAAGGAATGTAAAGACAAATTTTGGCATGCCGGATGTGATTCTATCCGTGTCACCGTTTCAATAAACTTGGAAGACTTTTTGGATCTCAACTCTTTCAATGTTAAATCAATACTAACTTGATTCGAACAATATTCTATATAGATTTTAGAGCACCCTTCTGCGTGCTTAAGTAAAGCATCTGGAAGTCCTGGCAACATTGGATCGGCTTTCCATACACTTTCCAATTCCGCCAGAAATCTTTCAGAAGCAATTAAAACACTCGGTACATTCCCAAAGAGTTTTTCACGGTCGGTTGGTGACAAAGCATCGTATACTAGCTCATGATTAATTAAAAACTCATTAACAAGCACTCTAAGAGAATTTAAATACGATGCTTCCGATGTAATTATTTCAAATTTAGCTTCTTGTATTTTTTTTTCGTCAGGAGTTAATCTTTCTGCAATTAAATTACATATTAATCGGAAGTACAATTTCATTTAAATATTTTGTGATAATAAACTTACCGAGTAGGCCACTTTTTATTACTTGGGGAGTTTGACTCCATAATGTTCGTTGGCCAGGTTTTCCTAATTCAGATGTTGCTGGCAATGATATTGAATCGTCTGTATCACCATAACTATCAGAATCTGATTGAAAAGCCCCTCGAAATGTTGATGCTGCATAAAATTGATACAAAGGTTCTCCAGCTAGCATATTATAATCATCTAAAAAATTAAAAAATACATGAGTTAGTAATTATATCATGTTTTCACAATTATTTCATAATATTTAATCTAATATTTTTTTACAGTTAAAAATTTCATGAAAATAATCCGTTAAAGAAACTTCAGATCTAAAATAAATATCTAGTTGCTTGAATAAATGAATGAAAGAATTCATGTAAGTGGTTTTTGCGGCTTTGATAAAGTAAAAATAATGTCTGTTCAATAAATTAATAAATAGATAACAAATGTAAATAAAAGAATTTGAAGAAATCATTGACATGTTAAATTTGAAATGATTGCTATGTCAATATAAAAATATCAGCTTTTAAAAATAGCTAACTTACAAACTGAAGGTGAAAACGTTGAAAGTATTAAAAGTGTATAACTTTCTCTGTCATATTAATTCATTTGTAGTATCATCCGAATCTGGTAGATAAAAATAGAAAGGAAAAATATTTCCTAATGTAAAGAACACATTTTTAAAACATATACGTACTCTCACTTGAATTCTCTTGAGCTGAAGAATAATTAGAATTAATTGACCAATTGCTATTCTGATAAATTTCATCAAGGCTATTATTACTGGTTATCATATTATTATCGCAGCCATTATCAAGATAGAAGGTAGAAGTGCCGATTGTATTCCTTTGAAAATGTTTTTTAAAATTGAATACTTGGCTGCCTTTTCTTCCATCAGTATGGTGATCCAAGTTTAGTGATTTTCCATTATCATCAACATTTGACTCTATATCTGTAGATGCTTTTCTTCTCATGCGTCCTAAACTACCTTTAGTGATACTCCAAGTTCTTTTTAATATTTGCATTCTTCTACCAATTGTTCCTGATAAATTAGATTCTCTGGGTGGAGGAGGCGGGACGGGTCTTGCTGGTGCCTCCATAGGAATTCGATTTCTCGATACCACCTCAGTTGAATTTTCCGACCAACTTTTCACTCCTGATTCCATATCATTTTGATGGTTTGCCTCGAATGAGTATAAAGTCTCGTAATTTGAATCATCGGAGCACGTATCTGTTGATAAAATTTTGATAAAATTAATTTATCATTTTGATCAAAATTGCTACAATTACGATAACAAGTAACAAAATTAATAGGAATAAGATGCTCAAGAAAACTACGGTATGTAATGGAATAAATGACGTAATGATAAAATTTTATTGTTTATTCGTGACGATTTTACAATGTGAATGGTAAGAATTAAAAATAAATATTGAGCATTATTGAAAGATCTTGTTAATTTTGTTAATCTAAGCTGAAGAATCTCCATCGACGAAACCTTCAAGAACGTAGCATGATGTTTCTTGTACATCCACTAATGCTTCATCTCGATCCACTGTCCTAAGCTGAACCAATCCCTGAGTTTCTTGTTCATTAACAACAGATTTTTGGTTGACATCCTTGAAGTTCGTTGTCCCACGAGTCTTTTCAGCTTCTTTTTCCCCTTCTTCGGTAGATCCAACGAGTAGGACCGATCCCGTACCAAGGCTGACAGCAACTTGAAATAATTTCCAAGGTCAATTCATACAATTTCTTTTTTGGATTCTATTTTTACTTCATAATGTTTTTTATTTTTTTTTTTCAACTTCTATTTAACTCTTGATCATAAAGATATTTTCATAAAAATATTTCTGTCTTTGTGTTAACATTAAATGAGTGTTATCGTGAAGCCAATGGCAAGAGTTGTATTAGACTGGAAGTATTCTATTGCCTGACCTTCCAGCCAAGTCACGAGATAGAAACAAATGACGTAGTTGTCAGAATATATACCTTGAGTATTTGGTCGTCTTACTAGAGATTTTAAACCTTGTCTCATTGTTCTACTCCTTAAATTCTTAAATCTTCAGAAAAAAATTATATCTGTATTCAAACACCATCCACACACTGATTAAAAGTGACTTGAACGTACACGAATTGACGACGTGCGGATGCCGTTGCCGGCTCGCCCGTGACTGAGAGTGAGAACGGAGTACACGCAATATGCGCTTTCACCTTGCTTCAAACCAGTCACTCTCCTGATTCCACATCAAATAGTTCCTCCATATTTTCCCTTTATTTCATTTTGTATACATCATAATACGAACTGTTACATATAAATATTAAATACCTCTTCCACTTCTTGCTCTTGAAATTTCGATGATTTTTTATTGATTGCATTTCGAGTTTTTTTTTAGTTCATTTCATTGTTTATTATTCATCATTACTTCTTTCTTTATTGTCTTTACACGACTCACTTATTCAGTATTCATGACCCAATCGAACTTAAGAACATTCAACTGGAAAATACAAACCAAAACGTGATGGTATCATCTTCGACGTATCTACTCCTTAATTTCGTTTCACTTGGTTGAAATATTACATAAATTATTATTATGCATATGTGCATACTTTTTGATTATTATTATCAAATTGATTAATGTGCAATAAAAAAAAAAAGAAATCGTGAAAATTGCAACAAAAAATAATAAAAATGAAAATTGAAAATAATTAAACAATTTTATGAATAATTCAAATATGATAATAACAAATAATATTGGATCATAACTGAATTATGTCATGACTTAAAATATACATCAGGTAAATGTACTATCTTGAAATGCAGAATATGTTGTCTCGTATTGAAATGTTAAAAACATATTTGTTTAACTGATAAAAATTCTTGACGTAGTTAATGACGTTTACGATATTACTTTATGTATATCGTGATTATATTTTGATCATAATTTTTTATCATTCAAATTAGCCACCAATAACTTTATGATTCATATGATCAATCTTTGATTGGAGCACTTTTAATAAAAATAATGCATTTGAACTCCACAGTGATGATTATGATAATCATCAAGATAATTGATGTTGAGGAAAACTTTTACTTTATGACGTTAGCGTGTGATCACTAGGTAAAAGTGATTACTAAATAGTAAGACTGTTCCCTAAAGAATAATTTGCTTCCGTAACATGAAAAGCCGTCCTCATAACTATAACTACATACTTACCCACATTAAAAAATATCTATTACATTGCATACATAATATATATATTTCTGTTTTTTTTTCTCAAATGCCGTTAATATTATGCATTTACCAGATATAGTGGATTGTCGCGACAGTCTGTTGGCCGAACGTGCTGAATTCCTTCGCGATGCTTTGGATCTCTGGCGGCGAACTTTCCTTGCCCGTCTTTGCCCTGATTTCTTTTTATTTACTACCGCTTGAGACTCTGTTATACTCTTAAGCCTGCAAATATACGTGATTCATGAATCATACCAATTATATTAACGAATAATTATATTGATGAACTTACGATAATTGTACATTATTTTTTGATACTCCATTAAGCAGAGAACATTCTTCTAAATCTTCCCATTCAGATTCCTTGGTAGGATCTAAGGAAAAAATATCAACAGATCCAGCATAAATACTGTTAACACGAGACTCATATAAAATTCCTACATCATCATAAACGGCGTCTTCTTCGTTAGTATCTTCACCAATTGTTGAATAAGCATCATTTGTCACGTAGATAAAGCCATCTTCTGTGTCTACTGTTTTTTCAGCAGAATTATTTTTTTTCAAACTAATCGGTACAACCTCTAGATTCTTCAGAATCTCGGTTTTTGTAGATTCTTTTTCTGTCACTTCCATTTTCAACAATGGAATAGGTATATTAGACGGTATAACATCGTCATAAACTTGCTCATCATCTTCTCTTACTTCTTCTTGATATTTCACAGAAAATATACCATTTCCGTATGCTTTAGGCACTCCCACATCATCATATGTTTCATCCTAAAAACAGAAGAATCATTTTATTATCCTATTTTGATATTAAATGTATTGTATAGTATTCAGAATTCAATGGGATGAATCTATCTTGTGGTTTCAGAAGTCCGATTAGTTTACTTTAAAGTTGTACAATAGCAATAAATTGTATAGATATATTCAATGATAAAAATCTTATATTTATTTTCTTCTCAAATTAAAATTTTTCACTAATACCAGTAGTTCTATCCAATTTATTAGAAATAATTCTTTCTAAAGCAATAATAGAATTTTTTTAGAAAGTATTTTCTTATTATTCGTAACAAATAATTCTTTTATATAATAATGAAAAAAATTTAAGGTACAAAATATTTACATTAATAATAATTATTTAAAATGAGAATAAATATATTCTTTATTTATAATAATTAATTTAATTGATTTCCGTGAACATTCTATTCATAGTAACTTACCGGAATTTGTTGTGAAGGACCTACATCATCGTACTCATGGTTATCCGCACAATTGTATTCATTTTTAGAATTTTCCAAATTCTTTTCATCGCTCGAACACTTGGCAATGTTGCTCCACAAAAAACTCACATTAGCACGAGGCTTTGATGAATAGACTTGAGACTCGCTGTTGATTTTTACGAGTTCTTCCGGTTGATTTGAGCTCTCAGGTAAAGATACCGTTGACTCGTTCACCGATTTCTCGACAGGTTCGTATACCGGTGTTTCTACCGATGAACTCCTTTCACAAATATTTTCCTTATCTTGTTTTTCTCCAATCAAAGTCAGTATCGCACATTTTTCTTCATGAGTAATTACCTTTGTCTGAGTATTTAAGTCTACATCTTGAAGCCAAGACCATCTTCTATTGCCTGCGACATGAACAAAGTCTGTAGGTAGAGAAACAGTTCGAGGTAAGTCTTTATTCTTATCTTTTTGCTTTCCACTACTTTTCGAGAAATTTTTACTATAACTTTTATGTCTTTTACTTTTTTTAGGAACGTAATGCATCATTGTACTTGTAAAAATCCATTTCGGTTTAACAACTAATTTTCCACCATCTGCACTCGATGGAGACCTTCTTTTTGAACGAGTCAACTCACATTCCAACTTTGTTTCAGATTTTACTCGCAAATCTGCTAAGTCTTTCGGTACTTGAGTGTCAACGTCCTCTTTATTCGCAATATCATCAACAGAATTCAACACTGATGTGATTCTCGCATCTCTATCATACTCCTCACCATTGTTTGATTGCTCCTATAAACAAAAAATTGAATACAATTGATAATCATCAATAATTCATTATTTTGTGACAAAGCAATACATCTGTTAATGATTTATTTTATCTCTAGAAAGAATTACAATACTTAATATAGATATTTAAGTGAATTAATTTTTTCACAGACAATTATATTTAATAGTTTTTATCGTGCTTCATTAATATAAGAAAGAAATTTATGAATAAATCACAATTGACAACAATAAAAAAAATTTTGTATGTAATATAATTTAATTACATTAAATTATATAATCATGACACTCTTTCTATAAAAACATCAGTGGGAAATTTCATCAAAGAAACAGTAAAACAAGCCATTTTTACGTGACGAAATTTTACGATAAATTATGAGATTATTTTAAAAATAAAAAGAATACATGAAAATGCAACGTTGAGTTTTTACGAAATAAAAACTACTGAAATTCTTTCATAAAGTGTAAAAAAAAAAAAATTACCATCATCTTTCATTGTCTCATGACATATTTTACTAGTAAAGTTCTTAAATGATTTTAAAAAAATGCATTTCCCTTTGGATACAATGAATAATTGTTTACATACTCTGTTGGATCCGGTCTTAACTCTCTTGAATATTTAATCAAGCGCTAAGAAGCCTTGAATATAATCGTCAAATAAACGTAATTAATCCACTTAAAACTGATCGCCAACTTTAAAACTAATCTAAACGTAAAACGAATATCAAAAAATTTAAATGGCCAATAAATGACTTTAAAATTCTGAAACGAAATAAATTTCAAAACATACAAAGAAATCAAGTAAAAAGAATATTTGCGTCTGATAATCGAGGAAGATAAACGGTAACTGTTTGAATATAATCGATAAGTAAAGCATTGATACATATATGTATATTTGTTTAAAAAAATATTGATAAACAAACCTTGAAACTAGACTGTCGTTCAGTAGAAGCATCAATTTGGCAAGAATCAATCGATAAAATATCATCAGTATCCTCTATGTTTTTATCTATGATAACGATATCAGTGGGAACCAATTGAAGTGGAAAACTAGTTCTTCTTAAAGCTAAACTATCAAGTGTTTCATGTTTTTTTCTAATAACATCACCATGTAGGAAACTTCGGTTATATAAAACTGGAGAATTCATGCCTTTACTTGCCATTGTTTCAGAATCATTCAACGGTTTATTACTGTTACTTGAGACATTGCCTACTCGTTGGAGCTGCATAACCTCTATCAACTGGACTGGTCCAATGAAGCATAATGTTGTTGATAACTTTACCACAATTACTCACTTTATTATTTTATTTTTCACAATCTTTTGTAATAATATTTCATATCCTTCCTCTACTGATGTAATTTTTAATATTTTATGTCTTTTGCCAAATTATCAAATATTCATTTCTTCCAGGAGATTGATTGAAGAAAAAGCATGAATTGAAATCATAATTCATGATTAATTAAATCTAATCTGATAAGTAATAAAACTATTTATAGAACGACATGAAATTTCTTAGAAATATTACACTGTAATTACTTATCTTTATTGTCTAAATATTTTAACATAATGTAAACAAATTTAACCAATAAAGTTTATCATAATTAACTGCGTAATCAAGTAAATGTATTCTTCACTTGTGGTTAAATTTTATATTATTAACACTTGTAAAATATAAAAAACACAAATTAAAAATTTTTTAATAAACTTTAAATAAAAAAATCTAATTTACTTTTTTTTTAGATAAATCAACATCACTAGAATAATTTATATTTGCCGGCTACATAGGTTCAAAACCTATCATATTCCCGGGTTGACAATGACAGAGTACACACAAGAGTATCACAGATCGACAGAAAGTGCAGTAAAATGAATCAAGAAGTCACTGAATGTTCAATCAAGCGAATTCTCGTTACGAAAGTGCGTGTGATCAATCAACTGAGGATTCTTGATGATTAAACTACCAAGCAATTGGAAAGTTTGAGAGAAATGCGTACGAACAAGGCGTCACGATTCACTTCTTGGTACCGACTGACACGAGACACGTGTGTTCGTACATTTTACGAACGACAATGCGCGCCAATAGAATGCAGAGACGCTCCTCGGTTGAACAGTTGTTGACGCGCGTGCCAGACAAGCACGATTGGTCACAATTGTCAGTTTAGTTCTAAGCTGTTCAGAAATCTTTCCCAAGACTCAGCGTGGAATGACCACTACGCTTAACTATAATAATCTCTCCTACTGGATCGGTTACTAATGGAATATCTCAGTAAATATTTCAGGGCCGTACTTTTTCATTTTTATCTTTTTTCTCTATTAACATTCAAAATTACAACATACTAGTTTATTTATTCTATTCCAGAATATTCATCATAAAGCAAGTGTAGGAGCATATACTGATATGTTAGAAAGCCAATTGTCCATCGTTCTTATAAATCAGATCCTTGAGAGGGTTTCTGCTGCAACTGCTTGGGAGGCTGACTCATTCTTAGGAATTTCTTCACCGACAATGTTCACAGGTGAGACTTGCTGTACCTGATTGCCAATGACCGGCTGGAGATTCCGATGATGTGGCCTGATGGTACGTTGGCCTCATTTGCACAGCCGGATTTTCAACACAGCCGTTTTTCTAATTTTTTGCTTCTTTACATCCCAAAGTCAATCATTTAAATTAATACGCAGGAAAAAAAAATTAGAATTACTCTTTCAATCAGTTCAAATTCTAGCCGGATTTAGATTTTTTTTAAAACGCATACAGATAAATATTGAAAATTGAACTTTAAGAACAAGTATTTTATCATAATAATAGTAATAATCAATTAACAAGTTTATTCAGGATAATTACTCTTTTTACTATAGGCATTTTAATAACAGCTATCAAATATTTATATGAAATATTTTTATTGGAGTAAAAGATTATTTTTCAATTATTTTTGGAGTTGGATGAGTGATAAGAATAACATATTATTAAATGTATTCTCTAAAATTATAGATTAGTTTTCATGTTGATAATAATCAAAAGGGAATGATTTCAAAAAGATAATGACTAAAGATAATATTAAGACTATTTAGACATTATTGATAAACGTGTATTTAATTACTCAATAGATTGTCATACACCTTTGACACTAATGAATCCCCTCTTACATGGTAGGACTTTGACACTTCTAGCTGGTTCCGAGCAATTTATATTGTGGAACAGTTATGTTGCAGAAAAACAGCAACTGGTAAATGCTAAGTCAGTAGAGGAGAAGCTGAAGAATACCTCAGACTATCAACACAAGAGTTAAAAGAAGATCTTTATTGGAAATAAAATAGACAACATGACGATAGATCAGGTACTTTTGTTTTCATAATTTTATTATGATTATTGTTGAAATCATCAGATATTTAAAATTCTCCGTTGTCATAATCTTGACATGAAATTCAATAAGACCTTGAAAATTCACAATTATTTTCGTAATAAAAATATTTTATAAATTTCGTGGTGTTATTATTTTATCATTCTTTATTGATTAAGCATAACTTTGTAATTCTTAGAAATTTCATATTGCTTTTTATTCTTGAAAAATAATATTGCAAATGAATGTTTACATATTTTGTTTCAATAAAAATTTTTAAACATTACCTTTAATCATTTCAATTCATTATAGGATTTTGAAAAAGCAGCTGAAGATGTGAAGAATTTATCAAAACGGCCTTCTGATGATGAACTATTAGAATTATATGCATTATTCAAGCAAGCCACAGTTGGTGACGTTAATACAGGTGAGTATATAACCATCATACCATTTATAAATTATGCACTAGCTCATGGTAAGCTGGTTTGTTTTTTATTTTATACTTCAATAAATTTTAATATCGCACAAATGAAATAATATTTTTTTTTTATTCAAAATTAGCTCGTCCTGGAGTATTCGATATGAAAGGAAAAGCTAAATGGGATCGTTGGAATAGTAAGAAAGGAACATCACAGGAAAATGCTAAAAAATCTTATATAACATATGCAGCTGGACTTCTTGCTACTTACAAATAAAATAATTTATGTAAATGAGTATCTATATTAATACAAAGAAACCAAAAAAATAGAATAGTTAATTTACAACTATTTTATACCTTACAAAAAATTTATACACTGAATTTACGATTTCTTTGGAAAATTAAATAGATAAAAATTTAATCAACTTTTCATACATTTTTATTATCATCAGATATTGACTCCAGTTTTCTATAATTGTTAAGAGTTGTTGATTAGATGCTTGTTATAAATATAATAGCACATCATTGCATTTGTAACTAGATTATAAATAATTTTATTTTATACTAGTTATTTTTGCAATTATATTTTGCATCAGTTTTATAGATATTGACTAATCACATGTCCCCACGTTGTATAGACGTGCAGTATATTATATATATATTACTTACGTGTACTTTTCGTACTTACACATCATTTAAAAGTAGTGCAATACAGCTATATAGTCTTTCTTATGGTGCTAGATGGAACTCTAACCTTCATTTCTTCGAATTTATCATAAAGAAATTATTATATTTTGTTGCTATATTTCAAAAATATAATTAACATATTTCTATATTATTGAGGTGTGAGTCATTTACCGAATATTTGGATCAAACATGTCTTTAACTGAGGTAAATATTTGATTATTTTCCTTGTAAATTATAACTTTCTAAAAGTTATAACTTTATAACCATACTTGTTTTCGTGTGTTGAAAATAATTTTTCAAGTTTTAAAATTATGCAATAAAAAATATTGATGCAAATGTATATTTCAATACATTATAAAGGTTATCCGCTATATCAAGGTCATGTATCGTGCCTACAAATGTTTATTTTTTTATTTGTATTCTGAATATTAAATAATATAGCAGTAAATGAATATGTTTATTAACAGATTTATCTTTCAATGTTATTGAATTATTGGTATTTTTAAATTAATTATTCAACAAGAACTTTGAATAAAAGATTTAATATTTATGGTTATTTAGGTAATTTTTTAACTTAACTGAAGTTTTAGAAGATAATAGATAAATTAATAAATCTTTTATTTATATTCGATTCATTTTCCAGACTTTTTTCTTTAAATTTTATTGTTAATTGTTAACTTTCAGAAATTTGAGAAAGCAGCTGAAGAAGTTAAAGAATTGGCATCTACTCCTGCTGATGCTGATTTACTGGAACTTTATGCACTTTATAAACAAGCTTGTGTTGGAGATTGCAATACAGGTACACACATAATTTTTAGATAAACAAATTAGCTATTAAAATCATCCTTAAATCAATTATTTTAACAGAACGCCCAGGAATGTTAGACTTTAAAGGAAAAAAGAAATGGGATGCATGGAATGGAAAAAAAGGAATAAATCAAGATGAAGCCAAAGAAAAATATGTCGCCAAAGTAAAGGAATTGATAGAGACTCTTGGAAAAAAATAAATTCTGATGAGAATACTGATAATACATGGAAGCACAACTTGAAACAGTATTCATTGGCACTCGCTTAGCTTTTTATATATTTTATATATACAACTCTATTTAGCTTCAAAAAAATATTCGATATGACAAAAGTCAATTAAATATTCAAAATTTAGTAAAAAATATCATCACACAAGCATTTTCAAAGGACAAGGAATTGAAAAATAAAATTACAATCAATGGATATTAAGAGTGTATTTGTTTAAACTTAAATTCTATTCCTTACCATTATATACACATAGATAATAAAATGATTAGAAAAAAATGGACTAATATTGAATGTTTTGAACGTAATAAAGAAATAAATTCGTTTCAAAATGAATGAAAATTTTTTCTCCAGATTATATTTTTAGCGCCATACAATGGCTATGTTTTACATGGATAACAATTGCTGTGGTAATTATAATTCCCAGGCTTTTACATCTATGATTCGTATGGTTACATTTTCTTAAATTTTAATGATTATCATTGAAATATCTAGATAAGTTTGTCAGAGATAATGACTTCCAATCCCTTAATTCTTAATAATTAGGATCTTCAGTGATGATTATACTAAAGTATTTTATTATTTAAAAACATATTGAATGGAAAAGAATGAAATTATTCGACTAAAACACTATATCCTCATACAAAACCTTAGTGCAGAACATTCCCCAAATTATTTTCATAAATTATCATAAAGATGAATAAATAAAAGTACTAAAGATTAATCATCGGCGGATATATTGAATTTTTTATACTTTGGATTTTATTCAATGCAGTCACAGTAACACTATAATGTGTGATTTTTAAGCTAAAACCCTTAGTAATAGACTGATAAGCCGAGATTATAGAGAGAAAGAACAGTTCGACAAAAAAAAAATAACCAAGACTTAATGAATTATTTTAATTGATTGGTCAAATCACTGGATCTCACTTATATTCACTTTCGTTTATTTTTCTCGTGCTTCATGATTGTATGGTGATGTGATTTTGTCCTGTTTTTTTCCATGTGTGGTATTTTAGACTGACTACCATGACCGATACTACTTGAGGATGATGTATCAGCAATTTTGTCATTTACTTGACGACTCGTCGATGCTTCATTCAACCTAATAAACAAGATATGTATGACATTTTTAAACATCATGAATTTTATTTAGCAGATGAGCCAATTATTATCATATAGCCAATTATTTATTTGTCTTATCGTTTTTGGGTTAGAATTAATGTTAGATTTTAAACAGATAAATTCAATTATGTAAGGCATCGACCAGTATCTTGTTATGATTATTGTTTAGCCATAAAGAAGAAGTAGAATTGTTTAATGGAGTTAAAATTGAAATACCAGTGATGAATTAATTGAAAATTAGATATACTTAATTAAGGTTAAGCATGAATAATTATGATAATAATTTAACTGTACGTGATAGATTGAGGAACGCCGTTGACGGTTTTAGATTTTAAGACATCATTTTCATAAAACATGATAGTCTCCTTGCCTCCTTCAACAACCCTAAAATAAAAATATTATTAATGTAAGTAAATTGATAATATCTTTTACGGCAATAAGTTGCTTATATGTACATATAGTTTTCTTATTGTTTTCAAAATAAACTTACTTTTGTGTAGTTATTTTCTTCCCATTAATAAATCGTGTTGAAGTATTTATTTTACGCACGGATGCACCAGAAGGAGCTCCTACATTTGCTGCAAAACTGTTAAATGAAGCGAACACATCTGGAGTAGGTCCGAAAAATCCAAATGGCGATGAAAGACTGAGATCTAAAGCTCCAAAAGGAGAATGTAAATGATGTCGTACATTATTATGTCTATGGCCCATGTGATGACCCATCTGTCCATTTAGAACTAAAAACAAAATATAAAAAGGTTGAATTAATTGAATAAATTACCGAGAAATAAAAGAATTATTAATCATAATGTAGAAGTAGGCTTTTCTTTATTATTTACTTACCGTCAAATAAATCATCAAATGGAGAACCATGGAAGAATTCTCGGAAAACTTCCTCTGGATCTCTGAAAGCGAACCATTCACGGAAGTGAGGTTCAAAGTCATCTTCATGTCTGCGTTTATTTCCTGGAATTTGCAGGCCTTCTTTGCCATACTGGTCATAAATTTTCCTTTTCTTTTCTGTTAACCAAAAAGATGATAATCATATTTTTATCATTTAGAATCATCTCGCGTAGCAAGTTATAATTATTCCATATAGAACAATTTATGAAAATGACTCACCATCAACTAATACTTCATATGCCTCTGAGATTTCTTTAAACCTCCTTGTAGATTCTTCAAGATTGTTAGGGTTTTTATCTGGATGCCATTTAAGAGCTAATTTGCGGTATCTGAATAAATAACAAATATTGAGTAATTAGTAGAGAGAAAAGCAGAACGAAGACAAATAAATGAAAAAATTGAAAAAAAATTTGCAGTGTTGTAGGGTCGAAAACCTCTTCGCCATGATAACAACCTTGGCCGTAGTAATGGAAGTTCTCAACAAGAACGACCTTTAATTCAACTCTTTTAATATCTTATTCATAAATCGAACATTTCACAAATATATTAAAGTAATTAATGAACTTTCTTTTCTCATCTTTGGCTTTTATTCTAACTTGGATTAAATTTCATCTATACTTACGCTTTTTTTATTTCCACAGCCGTAGCCGACCGTGACACATCAAGAGTTCTGTAGTAGTCTACCATGATCTTTGTTTGTCTACGCCGATATTTGAGTTACTCGCTATAGCGAGTCGGCAGGACCACCTGTAAAAAATAATAATATTATTATTGTCATGTCTTCATATGTCACATATTTGAATTGACACACATTTCTTTTATAGCCTGAGGATCGAACTTGTTCTTGCTCTACTGACCTCTATTAAATAATAAAACCACGATAGGTCTAAGTTCTATATATAATTGTTACGATAGTCCCGACAATTGGTTACCAATTAGACTTTCAAACTTCTTTTCTTTTATCATACTTGTTAAAGTTAACGTCCAGTTATTATAATTTATTTTCTATTAGTATTTTATGACAAAAAAAATTAATCGTGTTTCATTCAATAAATATATGACTATTTCCAACAGTTAAGTTTCCTCTATGAAGTTTTTACGATCTATAAACAAAAACAAGTAATTAACTGATAATCACTGATAATTAATTGGTGATGAATAATAATAGTGAATACATTATATTTATGGCATTTATTGGAGCCAAATTTGTGTTATGAATTTTCTTTTTCTAAATAAAATTGTGATTAATGATTTGTACTTAATGCATTTTTTTTAAATAAAAAAAAATATAGTATATAAATTATAATCCATTATAATAATTAGTATTTTCAAGAAACTAATATGTCTTCAATGTATAAAAAAATAACCAGAAAAAAAAATTCCAACAAATAATATATTATGTGGTATAAATGTATGTTTATTATAGCTAAAATATTTTATTTTACATTAAACCTAAATCTTCTCAAACATACATATGTCTCTGGTTAATTGATGAGTAGAGCTGAATTGTTTGAAAAAAGTAATTTTGTTTTCATTCATTTAGGTATTAGATTATTGACCGCAACAGTGGTAATCCTTGTATTTCAGATCTATTTAAAGCATCTTAATGATTTTTTATTTAATTTTAATTAATATACCTAAATTTTCACCGAAAATACTAGAAAATGATGAATAATTATTCAAACGAAAAGAAAATAAAAAGACTTGGCAAATAAAATTTGAAAAAACCCTTCAAATACGAGCCTTTGCCAAGGAAATATCTAAAGTTAACCACGTCAGAATAGCACAAAATGCGGAGGTGGAGGTCACATATCTTTGCTACGATGTTATAAATTTATTTACTGATCACATTTATCAAACTCTCAGAAAAAATAAACATTGTCATTGATTGATGAATTAAAATATTAAAAAAAAATGATAAAGGGTTTTCATATTTTCCTATAAATTTTTCCTGCTGACCTCGACTCTAACTCTGTCCCCGTCCTCATCATCAACGTATGACCATAGATTTGTGGACGATTTTACACGTGGGTCGTCGTGGGCGCGTCTCCAACAATTGGACCGACATCAACATTTTTTTTTATTTCATTGAAGAGAGCTTCAAGTAAAGTGTCGGCATAATTGATGTGATATTCATTCTCATTAGTGTGAGTCGAGTCTTGATATGTAGTAAAGCATTATCATTAGTCATTGCGGATAAGCTTGTTTAGTTGGTTGAGTTCTTCCAGCGGAAGGAAAAGCGGAAAAACATGTCAAGTTTCTTGATTATTAAAAAGAGAAGTACGAGAAGGTTTTAAAGGCAAGTGGATAGCAATGTGTTAGCGAGGTGGGCGTCCTCAACGGTGTCGAGTTGGTGCGTGACGTCAGTCATACATATTTGGCCAGCGAACGTATCGATGGATATCATTTTGAACCAGTACAAATCATCTACAATCAACTCACCCACAATTATGCTCCAACATTGATCTAATCTGCATTCATGAGCAATCAAGTTAGCACAGTATCTAGCAGGACAACATGTAAAGGCCTCTTGATAGAGCCCATGAATGTTTTGACAAGTCTAATAAATTATAGTGAATCATAATTTTTTTCTATGGATCAATTTTTTGCTCGCTATCTTTCGAGAAAGGAAAAAATATATAAATGAGACACTGATGAATTATAATAACTGTTAAGTAATCAGTCGTAGGCGAAACGAAAATTCTGTTTGCGAAAGCGAAATTTTAAATCAAGTAACATATCTTTTTTAGCTACATAATCTTCGTATCTTCCTTAGGTAATAAGATCACAGTTACATATTCAACGTAGAATGCCAAACAGATTTAATTTCAATGAGTGATCACTAGATTGAAAGCTAACTTATACTTGAAAAATTTAACCTTAAAAAAAATGACAAACATAAATACAAGCATTCAAACTCATATCAACAATTAATTAATCAGTCTATATACAAGCAATGAAGTAATTAATCAATAATGAATGTTTGCTCCAAATTGATTTAACAATCAATTATTGAAGTGATTGAATAAAAAAAAACTATTTGAGGAAATTTGTCTGTTTGGAATATTCCATTGTTTGTCTTGTCCTTGAACCGAATGATACACCACGAGGATCTTTGAAGTCGAGAGTCGAATTATGACCAATAGAATGCATCGTAGCTTCTTAACTATTCCTTTTATGCCAATTGATGATCGATTATCACAATCGAGAACTATCTCTTCTATTTGATTTAACTTATCTTATCTATCCTGTATACCTCATTTTCCCACTTGTTTGGTTTTCATTTCATTTAATATGGCAGCGTTATAGTTTATAGTTCTAGTGACGCTGCAATCGACAAAACTCTAATTGACAAAAGTACTATGGAAACGACTCTTATTAGTACTGATAATACAATTATTAACTGATGACTTAATTTTTTTCCATTCATTATTATCAATTTTATTAGCAGACAATTGATTAAGATTTATATCATTGTTACATTAAATTGAATAAATAAATGTAATAATATTGAAAAAAATTAGTATATTTAAAGAAGTATTAATCAAGAAAATATCTAGATTTATATCTGATAATATATAGCTTACTGGAAGCTCAAGGTTTAAACATGACTAATTTATTTTTACAACATCATCGAGGCTTCATGATTGCCAAATAATATCCTTCCTGATATAGGATTAGAAAACGAGCTACAAAAAGTGATTGCACACCATTTGGCTGTAGTATAGATTAGGGAAAAAGCAAAAATGACGACGTCGCATCTTCTAAAAACAATAAAGAGCACAAATAAATATCTTTTAAATGATTTTTTGTAAACTCATCATCCGATAGTCATTTTTCATGATTAGCCTAAAAGGAATATCGATTGAAATTGAAGAAAAAGTTTCCGTAGGAGTGAGTAACTGAATTAGTAAATATGTAATGCCTCTGCGCTATCTCAACGACGAAGAATAGAAATTTCTGGACAAATTACATGATCAGAATATAAGGATATCAAATAATAATGTTTACTTACCAGGTCACAGTCACTAGTTATCACAAATAAAATACACTGAATTGTCAAATCACTTCCTTATTATAACTTTTTTAATATTGTAACCACAGTCTCACTCCGTGGATGGACGTAACGGACGAGACTTTACGACAAAGGTGGAGAAAATCGACTGAAACTTGAACTTAGCTACATACACGTACGACCCAAGCAACGCTTTTGTTATTGAGCCAATATGGCAGCTTTCAGTGGAATTATCTAGAAATTTATAATTTAGTTTTAAGTGCTCATAAAGCGTCACAATGATGATATTTTATATGGCAAATAATAATTTTTATTTTTTCCTATTGAATAATTTTTTTTTCACCTAAAAATCAAATAGAAATTTATTGAAAATGAATAAAGAAAATACAAGAATTTATAGTTATGAAAACTCTTCCAAACTAATCAGTTACAGTATAGCCAACTTGACGAAAATATAATTTTCAAGAGATTCTATCGACAGTTGTCTAAACTGCAAATAACTTTTTGATAGTTTGCTGTGTTCATCACACGACTTTTAGAGCATCCCTTCATATGATAAACGGACCAGGGCTTTGAATTTCCATTAATATTATTATTACATAGTTATGGATATCAAATATTTGTGTTTTATCTAAGAAATGAGTGAATTATTATTGATACATTCAAGAACTTTGTAGAAGTTATTCGAATGTTAATGGTTCAGTGAATCGTTTATTATCATTCTCTGTGAGAATGGAAAGTGTTTTAATATTTATTAAAATTAGTGTGAAGGAAATAATATCACGGTGTATCCATTAGGAATGGTATCGCCGTCTAAAATTCAACAGCAGAAACAAAAACAATTATCAAACGACAAGAAATTACGTCAATCTCGTTAGTATTTATTTTCAATTCTGAAATAGTATGAAACATATTTTTTATATGTCAATATTGAATTTTCCTCTTCATTTATAATCTTTATTTATATGAATTGCTATTTATTTTTTATTATTTAAAAATTCAAAAATTATGCATAAATTGAAATAACTATCTTTCTATTTATAGGTCTTGTACTACAAAAAGGAAATAAGCCTTTGGAAAAGAAAAAATTTTATCTTGATCTCAAAAGCCATGTGTTATCAAATAAATTCGAGACAAGGATAAAAGAATTAGGAGGTGTAAGTATTTGACATAATTTATAATATCAACTTCAAGATAAATTTCAGTAATTTAAATCTTGTATTTTAATTAATAATTTTAATAATTAATCAGCTGTCTTCCCGCCAATTTTTCCTAGCCTCAAAATCGTCAAGATACAATCAAGTCGAATAACATTATTTAATAGGAAAAAATGATTGAAAATTGTCAAGAATATTTAGTTGAGTGAGTTACATATTTTCTTGCTTTAGTCATTCCAAGAACTTGATGGCAAAGCAAATATTTTACCCCCCTCACACAAATAGATTGTGTTGACAACGACGATGTGTATGAAAAAGGTAGTAAGTAGGCGTAGGTACCCGCGGGCTGCACTTTATGGAATTTCAAGCATCATCCTGCGCCACCTTGTGAGAGCTACCCAAACAAATCCTACAAACGATTCGGGTTCTGCAATGAGGCTTTTTGAAAAATCTCACTAGTAAAAAAAAGGGTTTAATAACTATAAATAAATCAATAAAATATTTTGTGATAAAAAGATAGGTTAATTAGTTTAAACAATTGTTTAAAAAAAGTAAAGCGCCGCCTCCAGGACTGAGTAGCAAGCTGTTAACGGCGAATGGCCATTTTGTGCGTGACAGTTCAATAGGAGAGAGTACTTTAGCATTTTTGTTCTAATTTATGATACTATTTTGTTAATGTTACGTTTACAAACATTATCAAATGACTTGATGTAATTATAACGTGATCAATCGATAGTTTTTTTTACATTGAAAACTAATGATATTACTAAACTCGTTGAACTCTTGATAAAATAATGTGTAACCGAGTGTTTTATGTGAATGTTGGTGTATTGAGTATGCTTGACATTAGCCAACCATCACCAAGCCAGTAATTCCATCATCGTTTATCGTAAGTGCATTGCTCGCGTAACTATTTCATTATGAATCTTGTACTAGTTTCAGTTTTTTCATTCATTTTTATCTGTGTATGATTGTTCAGTGTTATATACTATAAATGTAGCGTCTACTTTTCGGGCTGTAGATTTTTTTTATGTTTGACATAACTGTGCAATTATGAACTAATCATCGTTATTTAACTAAGTAATAAGGCGTTGCCAACTTTCACGACTCTATAATTGTATTAAATTTATCTTGAATCAATGTGTTTTGTAAACAAATCAGTCACTTATGCTGGTCATCTTTGATCTCACATACAAAAGCCAGTATGTTATTCCTTGCGGCATAATACAAATAAAACAACCATAATCGTATGATTGATATTTTATAATGATATTTTTAATTGAATTTTTCTTTTTTTTTGTTTGCAGAAAGTTGAACTATTTTTAGACCAAAAGGTGACGCTTGTTATAAGCGATAGAACGGAAAAATTTGACCACCGAAACTCTGAAAAGTCAAAATGGGGTTATACCAGCGGAGGGAGCGCGGGACCTCCCTCGCTGAGGAGTGCAGAGGTCCCTACACCAACGTGGACGCCTCCAACATCGTCTTTCAACGGTGAATGTCCTCTCTCGAATTCCACTAATACACGGGGTCACACTGCCCAGAGAACTGTAATTGTTTTCTTCAGTCAATTATGTTTTGTTCTAAGTAGAAAGTGACAGAAAGTTGAATAAAAAGTGTTAATTTTTAACAGAAATCGCGAGTGGATGCAATGTTGGAACGTGCTCTGACACAACCACAACAGTGCTCAGTAGATCCGCTCGACAACGCCTTCAACTGGGGCATACCTATCTGGACTACCGACAAATTGAAAGCTTGGTTAGATAAAATATATGCCTCCATAAAAGACAACAATACTCTGAAAAGTGTTAATCGTATTACTGCACAAAAAGATCTCAAAGTAAAAGAGTTTAAAAAATCATTCATAAAGTTTGAATCATATAAAAGGTAATTTTTCAGTGTATTCTAATAAACCTAAATCTTCTGAATCAAATATAAAAAGAAAATGAATGAGTGCAAAGAAACTTTATTGTAGAGATACAAGACCTGTTTTCTTGGAGTTATCAGTGTGGCCAACGATCAACTTTGACAGTGAAGTGGGATCTTGTCCTTTTGAAACAAAGCCGCGAGAACAGAAAGTTGAAGAAAGGAGTGATAAATTAAAAAACAAAAATAAGGTAAAAATAAATACTATACAGTAAGTAGTATAATTTCATATTTACAAAACATATTAATGTATTTATTTAAATAATTTTTTTAGTCAAAAGAAATGACTCGAAAACCACGAGCTAATGCGACACGTGCTAGACGATCGGAGCAGCTGGTCGCCGGGTATTGTGAAATATGTCGTAGCGATTACAAAGATTTAACAAAACATGTACAAAGTGACAAACATTTAGCATTTGTCCGTAACGATGATAATTTTCTATCGCTTGATACTTTAATAAATGCAGGCGCTAATGTTGAAGCTTTTTTAAAACTTAATCAACCAGATGACGTTGAGTAAGTAATCAATTTGTTCCTAAATTTTTTTTAGTTTGCCTAATATTTTATTTTTATACTGTTATTTTATGTTTATAGGAAAGATTTATTTTCCAATGGGAAAGATAATCTCGACGACGTCATAAGTAACGAAAAGATAAACAAGTCTACCAAATCAGAAATATCTGATTATGATTTAAAAATGGTGCAGTGTAATGGAGATCGCAGGAAATTAAGTCTCAAGTATAATTCTTCTCATAACTTACGTACTCGCATTAAGCATGAAAGTGGTCATCTTTTACGTTCGAAAGGTAGTCCATGGCATGAAAGTGAAAAAAGTGATAAATTTTTTGATAGACTTGAAGGCTATACAATAAAAAAACGTGCAAAAGGGACTATTTGGATCGAAGAGGATGACCCATCAGATAAATGTTCTGATGATGAAAAGAGTGATAAAGAGTCGAAAGCTCCAATAGTTGAAAAAAATCCTCTTAGTGAATTAAATGATGGACGATTAAAAAATAAAGAATGTTATGAACAAACGCCGAAAAAAAATCAGCAATTAAGCAGAATAGAAGATCGAAAAGAAAAAAAGAAAGGCTCTGTTTTATGTGAACAAAAAAGTATTAGTGAAAATGTTAAAGATAAAGACAATCCTTCTGGTGAATTAATTCCTCAAAAACGAAGTGAATATAATTCTAGGTTATCATTAAATGAAGATAAAAAATCACCGAGTAAAGAAATCTTAGTCAATGGAGCATTAAAATCTCTAGTTTCTCCTGCTCAAAAACTAAATAAAGTTGAAACTGTAGAAACTCATGAGGACACAAGAAAAAATGTTGATGATTTAGATAAAAGTGAAACAGAAGAAAATGATGGTGAAAAGAGTACAAAAGTAAATCAACCTAAAGAATGTGAAGCTAAAGAGATTAAAGAAAAGCCAAGGTATAATAGAGGAAATAAACGAAATGTAAGATCTAGGGCACGACAAAGGCTTTCTGTTGAAGAACGTTTAATTGAGGATAATCGTGCTTATTACAAGGTTGAAGTTTTAGGTAATAAGTTAAGATCTAGTGTAGCTCATGTGAGCAATAATCAAAGTCTGCCGGTAAAAGAAGTAGAAAAAGAGAAAGAAGTTAAGAAAGATGATGGTCCATCAAGTGAAAAGCCTGTAGTTGTAAGATTTAAAAGAGTACGAAAGTCGGAATTGTCGTTGCTCAGTGATGAAGCTGAGTCTTTCATGTTCGGAGAATCTAGAAGAGATGATTGGAGTAATTCTAGTGATTGGAATAATGAAAAAAGCAATAGTAGTAGTAGCAGTATTTTACCTAACGATACTGAAAGTGAAGAAGACAATACGAAAGCATCATCGTCAATTATATCATCACCGTCGCGGACTGCAACAACAAACTTGCTCATTAAACAAGAACTTCTTGATGAAGATTCGCAAGATTCCTCTCACACAGGAAGAGCAAGAAAACGAAGACGCACGCAGACTGAGGTGTTGATTAAAGAAAATACTGATTATTATAAATTTGAAACGCCTGGAAGTAGATTAAGGTTTCAGGGTCTCACTACTCCACAATGTAAAGAGTCAGAAGTGCATGAATTAAAAAGTTTGGAAAAATCACCGAACAAAGATCAACCTGAAGGTGAAAATAAAATTGACTCAGTCACAAATACTGAAGAAAAACTTTATCCGTCCAAACCATCAGCTGAAGTTGAAAAAATGAAGTTTTCATTTGAATCAGTTCCGAAATCTGAACCATGGTATCAAACGTATCAAAGACAAGATGAGGGTGCAGAATTCTGGCATTCATTTAGTGATTCAGATGCTAAAAAACCTTTTTTATTGCCATATGAGATTGAAAACTTCCATGAAAATCTTCTTAAAATTTGCCAAAAAAATGAAATGAAAAAGAAAGCTAGATCTAGAGGTCCAAATGGATTGGGACGATCGCCAAGAAAAAGCCCAAGATGTCATGCATCTACTCTTGCAATAATGTCGACTATTATTCGTAAAAGAGAGCAACAGCAACAAACAGTGATTCCTAATGTTGCAGATGAAGAAACAAGATCTGGCGCCAACACTCCGAAACCAGATGCCAAATCCAGTACTGATCTAGAAATTCGCGAAATAGCTAGAAGCATTGATGAAATGTTGAATGTTGAAAATAATCTAGACGACTCGTTTGAATCAGATGTATTGGATGGAAACTTGCAAGTATTAACTGAATCTGAACCATCTGGACCACCACCGAATCTCATTGAATTACTTGATTCTTCATATCAACAATATTTTAATGGGATAGAAAATTCTTCATGTGCTAGTTCTGAATGTGGTGAAGCTGTAACAGAATCTCCTTTGAAACGTCGGAAAAGAAGAAAGAATAGAACAGGATGGCCTGGAATAAGAGCAAGAAAGAAAATGCAAAAATTACCAACAATCCCTGATGTAGATTCAGAAAGAGAAAATGTTCCAGCGAAAACGCCAAATCCGGAAGAAGAGGAAGATGAAGACGAAGATGATGAAGAAGAAGAAGAGGAAGAAGAAGAAGAAAATGTGAGAAATCAACAGAGTATTCTTGAAAGACTGCAAGCACCGAGTATAGTAGAAGCTCCGGATACTTCTCAAGACTCGAGAATAAAATGTAAAACAAACGATTTTCCTGAAAATCAAGTAACGAATGAAGTAGATGCTCACTCCTATGAAAGCGATGATCCATTATCAAAAAAATCGCATCAAACAAATGATGAAAATCATGAAAATGTATTTAGGCAAGATATGCGTATAACGAATAATACGAGGCAACAGATAAGCTCGAAGCTAATGACGCGAAAACGTCAACGAGAATCTGATGCAAGACCGTCTTCCTCAGTTTCTATTGATTCTCATCCAGAGATTAAGAATCATGATCATTTATATAGACAAAAACCAACGTCGGGAATAATATCGAGAAAAAATTATTCAACTGGAACACTATCTAAACGACGACCACGTGATGGAAAAGAAACAAGTACCATCGAAATTAGTGAAGCAGAGTCTACAACTCCATTAGCTGACGGTCAGCAACATCGAGAGTCACCTTGTAAAAAGAAAGACTGTGTTAGCCCGAAAAAACAATCAAAAACAAGGAAAAGACCTCGAAAAAGTACATCAGAAACAAGCTTTGACAATGAAAATTGTAAAAAAGATGAACTTGAAGTTGATGTTGAGTGTAAATTATCAGAACGAGTGAGTTCAGATCCAGTTTCTGGTCCTGAGTTACAGCAAAGACGTTCAAGCATAGAATTCCAACCTGTAGTTAGAGTGATGAAAATTGAGGATCAAGTAGATATGGATCACAATATTTTATCAGTGACCGTGGCAAGTAATCGTCGATTAAGAAGTTCCAGTTCTCCGAAATTGACGAAGTCGCCACCTGCTAAACGCTATAAGCGATCTAAAGGTCCTTTTGGTCGATGGATTAAAAACAGTTGAGATATTTATTCTCTTGATTGTAAATTAAATAAATTTTTTTAATTCGACACTGAACATTATAAAGTTTAGGCTTGAATTTTAAAAATTTATTATTCATATATTGTACAAATTCATATTTGTCAAATGTACTATTTATCGTCATTTTACATATTACTTATAGACTTCGGATTGTATTATTGTAAACATTCTTCTATATAAGTCGTCGATTTTACGACGATATAATAATTGAACTACATTTTTTAACATATTTTTTTTATATAAAATATTTGTTTTCCTTTGATGTTATAAATTTTGCTGTAATCATTGATCAACAAACAACACGCTTCGTGAAAAGTGTAGTGTATTAATTAGTATACGCAAGACTGCATACAATTACAATAGCAATTATTTGCCAGATAAAATTATTATAGTATCTAAGACATGATAGAGAAATCCATACAATATTATTTAAAAATCCATCTTTTACAGTCAATTGTATTATAATTTGTTTTATTTCTCCTTTTAAAATATGTTTACAAATGAAAACAAAATACAAAAATCATTCACAAGAATCACTTTTATCTGTACATTCTCTTTTTTTAAAAGCTTCCTTTAATGCTCTTTTTTTACTCCTTTTGCGATCTGTATCCTTTTCGTGTTTCATTTTTAAAGTTTTTAATTGATTTTCTATGGATAATTCACCATTCATTAAATTATCTAATTTTGTAATTAATAAATCTCGAGCAAGCGTTCGATTTTTTTTTTGATCTCGAGTTTGATGGCATTTAACTACTAGTCCTGTTGGAATATGCTTCAAAACAACAGCATTATTTGTTTTATTGACGGCTTGTCCACCTGGACCACTTCCCTTAACAAAATTTTCTTCTAAATCATTTTCATCAAGTTTTGGAACACGTGAATAATCCAAAGAGCTCTTGAATGACTTCAAACGTACTTGATAACTTAAATATAGAGATGGCAATCGCTTAAACAAGACCATTATTAGTTAAATAATGAGGTGAAAGTATTAGATTATTTTCTGCTCTTTCAAAAGTTGTCGGCCTTTCTAAAAAATGTTATATTCAATGAGTTTAAATAATAATTGTTGAAAAATTTGAGTAAGAAAAATAACTTGATAAAATTACCTGGATATAAAATTGTATGTCATTCTCGTCAGTTAGATCTTTGTTTAAATGAAAATCTTTACGAACTCTAAATCTAAAGTAGCTTTGATCAGTCAATTTTAATTTTTGTCCATATTTCATTAAATCTTTATAAAGTTTTAATGCCTCTATTCGCATGTTTAATTCATCAACTGAAAATTATATTTTATCAAGCTCGAATTGTTCAGATTCGAAATAGTTGTTATATACACATACCATAAACGCAAATAATAAAATTATTTAACAAAAATAACTGGGAACAGAAAACTCCGAAGGAGCTGAATTTTGGTTTTCTTTTTAGTTAGTATTTCGATAATATGGTGGCGCTACTTGTTTATTTGTGATGCGTAGATAATGTAGATTAGCAGTAGTTAGCCGACTGCTGATATATAGGTAAGAATGTGTTGTGTATAGAAACATTCATCGTTTTTAGAGAAAATTAATTTTCTCAGTTATTTTCCGAATAAAATAAACAAATCATGCATATATAAATTATTAATTCAAAATTCTATATAAATTTAAATTCGTAAATAAATAAATGAATAATTTAATAGCCATTGCTTAGCATTCTTTTGATTCACGATGGCTGCAAAAGTTCAATTTTCGGTCTCTATTTTCATACACTTGATACACTATAGCGCAGAAAAAGTAAAATGCACGATTATCGACTGTATGACGGAGAAGAAAAAATGTAAAAATTACAACCAACTGATTTCTCGATACTCGTAAAATAAAAGCTAATCAAACATTATCTTGTCATTTTAAATTATTTTCGAAAGAAAAAAAGGTATATGAATAATCTGTATTATTTTATAAAATTAAATCAGATTTATGGAAGAATTTTTTTTTTGTCAATTACTTAGATCTGAAGAAGGGTTCAGGTTACTTTAGTATTCAAAGTTTGTCTAACCTCAATTTCGACAAGTGTCAAAAGTAGAAAAGTATCCTAGTAAATACATTATTAATTAATAAATCAAATAAAATAACATTCTCGTAAAGTATTCACATAAATTACTAAAACTTTATTCATTTTTCATGACGTCTAACGTAATAATCATCTCAGTTTCATTCATTTCTTTCTATTCTAACTAAATTATTATTTATTATTTATTCAATAATAAACAAAATAATATTATTCCTGTAGGATTGTAATTAGGCATGTTGACAAAACCAACATCAGATGTAGAGACCGTATCTCTCGCTATTGACACAATTCCAATTAGTTTTATCATCGCAGAAGATGGGCGGACACTTTTATTAGCAGGTGAATTATCTCTGAAAAGTTTAATTGCATGTCTACTATAACTAAACAAAAAATTTTATTCTTCTTTATTATTTTTCAAGAGCAAGATGATGGAGCCTTAGAATGGATAACTACACCTATTGCTTTCATCCAGCCAGATAATACAATTTTATCTTCAGTTAAAGTAGCAAACGAAAACCCATCTGCAATTTCAGTAAGGCATACAGTTTTTACCATAAAATAAAACATAAAACAAACAGTTATATAAATTGATAATATTTTTTATTTTAGTCCTTATTCCAAATAAATATTGAAAATGTTGTCCCTGCTAATAATACATCGGAAGCAACTATCCTCCAAGGCAAAAATACACCAATTATTTCTAACTTAACTGATGTAACGAATTCTAAATTAATTCTACAACAATCTTCTGAGGGCTTAACAATAGTAAATACTAATAATATATTACAAAGTGAAAACACTTCTGATCAACAATCAAGTTTCTTAGTAGATACAACGAAAATTAACAAAAGGAGTCCTGGAAGGCCTAGAAAAAATGCCGTTAATGCAACTGATGTAAGTACGGTATTTAATTAATTTAATAAAACAAGTAAATTTTAATATATTTTATTTATTCCAGACGGATCATAAATGTGAAATTTGTGGTGAAGAGTTCAAGAAACAAATCCTTTACCGTAAGCATATGGAACAACATGCTGAAGAGAAACCTCATCGATGTCCAAAATGTCCAGCATCTTTCAATATACCTGTAAGTTAAATTATAGAGTTAAGATTCATAATATAATTCAAAATTATTCAGTTGGTTGATTCGCAAATGTAATTCACTTTACAGACAAATTTCACGCTTCATATGGCGACGCATAATACAGGAGAACCTAAATGTCCTGAGTGTGGTCGAAAATTCGCTCGTATGGCTAGTCTCAAGTCTCATTTATTACTTCATGAAAAGGAGGAACACCTTTTTTGTAAAGAGTGCGAGGACGTATTTCCTTCAAAGGTTAGTTTCATAAAACTTTTTCAATATGATTTTTTATATGCGGAGCTTGATAATAAAGAGCAATATTTACATAAATTAATAATCACTTTCTATTGATTCTGGCACAGGATCTTAATAAAGAAAACAAATTCTCACACAACTTTTTGAATTAATCGAGAAAAATTTCAAAAGCAATCATTTTACTGTTTATTTTCAAGTTCCTAATATATGAGACAAGAAAATAAATTAAATTTTTAATTAATGTCTAATAAGATATCTTTTAATTATTTTTAATGGTTGCATTCGTTTATTAAAAGAGAATATTTCAATATAATCATAAAGCCTACGCTTTTCTCACCAAGATAACATTGAGAATAGTAATGTACCCACTTCTAGAAAATGAGAACGTTTCATTTTCTAGACAGTTATGCTTTGAGTGGAAATTCTTCCGGTACTCATATCTTGTCAGCTTATCATTTAAATGTTGTTGATTACACAAATGAGATTTCGGCTTTTTCATATAAATTTAGAATGTCAACGATCGAATAATGTCAGAAGATTGGGTTTTTATAATTTAATGTCTAAAGCATGGCAAGGGTCAATTTCTTGATCTTTGATTCCGTACTTTTATATAACTTCCTATTTTTATATTTTTATTATTTAACAGAAAATTTTGTTTTATGATGCATATTCTATTATTGATGATTAATCTATTTTATGAGAGACTTTTCTTTGATGATATTGTCCTTCGATTAAACAAGGATAAATAAATAATTTTATGAATTTACCAGTGTCACGCAAATATGGGTTGAAGGAATATTGCAAGTAGGCGGAGAGTCAGCGGTCATAGCTTCATGTACATTGCGTAACTGAATTGCATGATCTCATGCACTGATCTCCTGTAGATTGTTATGACAAGTGTCCTATTAGATTCTCGTGATAATTGCTGTAAATGTACTTATTATCAATAACACTTAATCTTTGATTTAATTTATCACAATACCAAAAAAGTTGTTTAAAAAATTTTACATATCCGAAACAACGTCATGTAATTTTTGACTTTTTATTTTCTACGAATTTTATGACAAATATTTAGATTCCCATACCCAAAATCAGAGTGTGTTTAAAACACATGTGTTGCATCCCTCGCTTCTGAAGAGTCGTTAAATGATATACCAGACGATTACTCCGTCTGTTTCAACGAATCTGAAGATTTCACAGAATCAGGTCGGCTGTTTAGTTGAACTAAAAAAAAAAAAGGAAAACAAAATGAATAACTAGAGTTTTTGTTTTAAATTTTTTCAGCTGCTTTATAAATTGTTCGATTCAAGGGTAGATTTGTTAAAGAAATGATTGAATGTTTCAATTTTAGTTACTTTTTAAGTGACATCATCATCACAGTAGGTTGATCATAAAACATAAGAGTGTCTACTCAGCTACACTATGTCATACTTCAACACTTATAATGTATTCAATTATATTATCACAACGGAATGTCAGATTATCATAGATCACGTGTTTCTTCAAGAAATATCTATTGGCTCTTACAATATTTAGCAGTTTTCATTCAGAAAATATTTCTATTCCATCAGGAATAGATTACTCATTTTTTGAATAAAACGATTGATTGTTTGAAAAATAATTTTTGAAATCGATATTAATTAGAACCATCAGAAAATTCAAATTTTAAAAATCTTTTATCTTGACAAATTTTTTTTCATGATATTGATTTTCTTCGCCAGCTATTAATTTGCAGCAACCAATTAGTCTGCTGAAAGTATATGCAATTAAAAAAAAAGATAAAATTTATAAATTTGCTACATGACGCGCGTTTGTCAATGATGTATGTCAACCGCTGGCGCGTGGGTAGTCGGCACGATTATTTTCTTAGGAGTTACACACCCTCGCCAGTACCCGCATAAGCCGGACTTCAGTGTGTGCCGCTAAATAATCTGTAACCGTCTCTCGTGTGTGCCGCCTGTGTAACACAAGTGTAGAGACTCGAGAAACGACTGCTATCAAGATATATCTTATAAAGTTGAGAGAAAAATCGAATAACAGCCACTGAATACTCTGGCGCCCTTGTAGTGAAAAATAGGAGTGTATGAGGCACGCACGTGCTCATATTCATTGACAGTTCTTCCTCAGCCTTATCATTTTTTTTCAAATCCTATCTGAACACGTACTCACTGTTCATTGAAATAATTTCATGTGATTTCCAGTATTATTTGTTTATTTTAATGAAATAGTAAAAGTAAGTGTGGCGTCAATTGTAAATGAAGTGTTCAAAAAGTGTTCCAATATTTTGTGTTCAGTGATTTCTCACAAAATCAAATTAGTGTTTAAGCTAAATGAAAAAGTGATTATAATTCATGGAATTTAATTATTATCAGCAATTAATTCGGAAGAATATTTATTTATTTTCACTAAATAGAAAATGTACAATTAAAATTGGTCAAGGATCATCATTAATCTAGGTCGATAATGGGTTATCACTTTAGCCTTTGAGCGAATTATTAGTGATGAAACCGACACTAATGAGAAACGTTTAACAACTATTTTTATCAATTCAATCAATTATTTATAACAAATTAATTCAGCTAAAATGACATTTCAGTTACCACAGATTGCTAACATTTTTATATGTAATATGTATTTCATTATTTAAACAATAATTTTTCATTGTAAATCGTTGGGAAATTAACAAATAGTATAGATCTGAATATAAAATTATAGAATGAGAGATAACTTGATGAGAATGACCAATGTAAAGCGTCTCTTCTTCATGTTTTATCGTTTTTTTCTACCACGCATGTGTGTTTCTGAAGATATCACATTACTCTGAAAATAATCGTTGTAATACAAAGGATGGGTCCATCGAACTTGATCGCGATTCACTTTTCCGGTCATTGATGAACTCGAGGGATTATTTATTTATGACTAAACATCCGCTAAAAATATTTTTTCCCAACATAATAAAATAATGTTAACAATAGTCTACAAGTTAATAGCTGATATTTAATCATTCTCAGAGTGATATGCTCTGAAAAAATATTAATTCGATAAATAATTAATTAGACAATGAATAATCAATAAATTAAATTAATTTAGTAATTCAAAAATTAAATAACTTATTTGCTTTATTGGATGTAGATTAAATTGATTGGTCAAACTTGAGAATATTTTTTTAGTGCATCAAATAAAATTGATCAAATAGATAATAATGATTTACTCGGCTGATGAATAACATGAAGTTTATGTTTGTAGTAAATATTTGTAGTCTTCAATTAAACTAATTAATTTTTCGTTGCAATATTAATTTTGTTGAATGATGAAGTGCATTTTCGCCTTTCATTATCATTCAGAATATCACGTGATCACATAGGGTCAAAAGCGAAAACTGGTTTTGTCCATCGCGACGTCTCCGTGGCCAAATATTCGCTGACGTAACGCATAAAGTCGTTTTATGTGCAAGGGATATGGGGTACAGGTCTCTGATCCAAGGGAAAAGTATCTTATGTTCGTCTCATCTTCTCTATATGTTGCATGCATATGCATATTTTTTGAGGAATATTTTCCTTTCTTACTTTTCACTTTAAAAACACTTTTGTCTGTGATTAATCACCCGGCATAATTTTTATTACAAATGGCACTGGTTATTTTTAAAATTTTTAATTATAGGAAGTAATTTTTTTATTAAAATGCTTCATAAATCTTTTTCTTCTAAAAAAAGAAATATGGTAAATTCTAGAGAAGTTAAAGAATAAACTCAACTGTAAAACTCCACTCCTACGACTCTCATGTAACTTAGCGCAACATCTTAGAAAACGATTTATTTCTTATCGGTAAGAACGTGATGTTAGAAGGCAATTGTTTGTAACAGTACGCACCTCGAATATACATACCATACCAATAATCCTCTTATGTATTCATTTAATTGTTTTCTCACGTGTTTTAGCATGAATTTTTTTATCTTCAAAATAAAACGAAAATATACTTGATGCTAATAATTGCTTTGACATTTTTATTACACTCTGTTTCATTATGTACATTATTTTATTTTATAATCAATCAGGGAATATCCATGAAAGCTCATCAACTTAGCTGAATGTATTATTTGAAATAATTGTGAAAACAAACTGATGAGTTGTCCTTTTAAGGGTACGTGTATAGTCTCAGCGATATGACCAATATTTCCATAACGTTGACGTAATACATCAAAGAAAGGCTGCGAGGAAACACTTGGCTTGAATATAATAACTGGAGACTCACTTTATGCTCATATTGCTGATGTCCAGATTCCTTTCCATGCTATTTTATAAGAGTTAATAGTATCTTTTGAATTCGCAGAAATGAACGAGTAAATGATTTCATATCGGAGAAAATATCTAAAGAATTCTTTATAATTTTTTCTTTCCAAATATTTCAAAAGCAGTCGGACTTATTTAACTTATTAAACTTGTTGTAGATGATGAAAAAATAACCAACTATTTAGAATTATAAAATTATGATAAGAAAAGCAGAGAACAAAAGGTTCATTGATCTCATAAAATGGGTTGAAAATAAAGCCAAACGATTCTAAAGAAAACCTATCATCCAATCTACGTTTGCTCCATTATTATCGTCTGGATATAAAAGACCCGAACACTCGTATCGATAATCGGGTTATCTTTCTCGCACTTTACACCACTTTTTTAAATATTTTTTATTTAATTTTTTAAATCTATTTTTAGATAGATCAATTTTTGTTAAAACTGATACTATTTTACCCTAAGAAGCTAATTTTTATTTAACAGAATAAATGCATCAGATCTATTTAAAATATATTTAACTAATTTATTCTAATGAAGAATTTTTATTTAGAAAAATATTGAGAAATTGACCGAAGAGAACTCAAAGAGTTTATTCTTTACTCCAAACTATGTGAACAAAGAATTATCTCATCAATTAATCACCGGCATATCTCATTCATTATTTTTTTGAAAGCTTCAGATGATTAGTTTTTTTGGAGCACAACCATTTTTTATTTTCTTCTTGAAGTTCATATAAACGTTTTATCTATATATTCACATAAATTATAAGTAAATGTCTACTTATAAATGAGTTACACAAGTGATAAGTAAAATCGTTGAACTTTACCAAGTTGTACATTCCACATAGCTTGATTTATTTTATTAATAGGCCACTACTATATTAACCCTGAAACAGAAATGTAAGCTCTAGAATGACGTAAATTCCATAGTTCGATTTTAGATTATTTATTCATTACTGATGATTTTCTCTGATTACTGCCATTAATTAGAAAGAAATATTTATATTAAATTATTAATTAATTTTATGATTAAATGTTGAATGACATAATTAATTATGAAAGATCTTCATTTACTTAGTTAAATAACTATGAGTAATTTTATTACATTAAAAAAAAATGTTTTATCATGAAAATAGATCATTTCATAGTAATTGATAGATTTATTTTGCATACTTGTCTTTTTCATGATACATTATACCGTGTAAAAAGCTTGCTTAGCACTCGACATTACAATTGAGCTTTGTAATCATTAAGAATATTTGCAGTGATCATATAATGTCTATAAAATCTCAATCGTCGCAGAAATAATAATAGAATTTTTACTGCAATCTGGACTGAGCAGAAAAAAATCATCTATTCCAAATATAAAGTGATATATTATTTTGAAAAAGTTGATATAATTTTTTGTGTATCATTGAATTAGGTACATTGTTTAAAATTTCAGATATTTTTGCTGGTGACTTCCTTATATCCTGGACTTGAAAGATAATTGATTATTCTCTTCCATGTTGATAAGATTCTTATTTCCTCTAGTCTGTTGAATAAGTTCAAACATAAAATTAATTAATTATTTGAAATAAAAGGATGTTTATTAATCTATGGTAACTAAATTTGCTAAACATAATTTACTAATTTATTAATCATATTTTAAACAACTAATGTTTTTACAACTAAAGCTTCATTGGATGACTCATCACTTAGAAGAGGGGTTCTATAAAAATAAACGTAAAAAAAAGTAAACAAAGATCTCAAACACAAGATCTGAACTTGGTATGATGCTCTCGTGGCTCGTCTCTCTAACTATATTGAATTTATCAGAGCGAATAAATAAATATTCTGACAGAAAGACTGATTTCTAAATTTGAGATTTCTTTTATTAAAAAATCTTCAAATATAATTCAAGTGTGGGAACTCATTTATTAAAGAACTGTTTGATTTTGATTAATTTAGAAATAAATTAATTTTGCAAAGTGTCATCATGTATTTTACATCAATTACAATCAAATATGGTTTACAGTGTTTTATTAACCATGATTATTATACAAAAATGAATCTTACTAGTAAATAATACTGCCATAAACGTATAACAAATATCCACTTTGTAAATTACAATATCGCAAAATATAAAAATGATAAAAAATATTTGGTATTTTCTATAAAAATCTACATAAAAATTATTTGATACTTCCGTCCTGTACGATGACGTTCACTGCCGATTGCATGAATTTCGCTCTTCTAGTCATTTGCTCCCGAGTATTTCATTTTGCCCTCGGACTTAGTGCTCAATATTATCAGGTAATTCTTTATGGTAGTGGAATCACTAAAAAAAAAAAAAAAAATTATTTTCTAAACATGGATTTAGAAAAATTATTCTCGAAAAATAAGAGTTTAAAAAAATTATTCAAATCATTTCAGACGCAATTAGATGCACACTTGCGACTTCATAATGAAAAGTGGTCAACAGACGATGTGAAGAAGTGCAAATTATGCAGCAAACAATTCACTCAGCCTGCACTTTATCGTATTCACATTCGAGAACACTATAAAGTAAGTTTTTATACATAAGTATATTTTTATTTCTTGAGAGCTTCAATGTGATGGTTTATAAATTCTAACATAAAAGAATAGGAGTGTTATGAATATATTCTGTCATATGAGTTATCTCTTTTTTTTTTTGCTTTGAATCAGTTACAGACCAAAATGATGAAACAGACAAAAAGAGGAGTGACACATAAAACGGTGTATAAATGTAAGATATGCCTTAAAATATTTCAAAAACCTAGCCAATTGATGAGGCATATTCGGGTTCATACTGGAGAAAAACCATTTGTTGTAAGATTTTATTTAATTCTTTAAAAAGAAAGTTCAATTGATTAAGCAATTTTTATTTAATTAAAAACATGAATATATTTCACAGTGTAACGTTTGCAACCGATCTTTTACGCAAAAAAATTCCCTTCAAATACATAAATGGAAACATGTAGGAATTCGTCCATATCATTGCAATCAGTGCAATGCAAAATTCAGCCAAAAAGGTATGGTAATAAAATATTAAAAATTCATTTGACGTTTCACTCATTACAATATTTTTTTCAATCTTTTTATTAATATCATTTACTAATATTTCAGGTAATTTAAACGCACACATTTCTCGGGTACATAATTTGCCAGAGGGCGAACCGGTATATTCGTGTATGCTGTGCACGTGTTCTTTTAAGAAAATAGGAAGCTTAAGTATTCATATGAAAAGGATGCACACCGTTCCGATAGAAGTATGCTACAAATTGCACACTTATTCTAAGTAATACCATGTATATTAAACAGCTTTTAATTTTCAAATTGAACGATATTTTTAGGGAGAAGAAAAATGTGACAGTTCTATAAATGCTGCAGATTCAAACGTTCAAGATGCAACAGATTTTACAAATAAAGGTGATATATTACAAGAAGCTTTGAAGATAAGTGGTTTATCCAGTAAAGAAAAAAATCTCTCTTCTGGTAAATTATTTGATTTATTATCTTTAAATGATTTATCCATTTATTTATTCTAATTGTACATTTTCCGATAATATTATGTTTGGATTTATTAAATTTTTTTACAGTAGAACCGAATTCAAAAAACAATCAAGTACAAACATCTTATGTAACGCTTTTAGACAGAGCACCTGATGGTTCGTTAAGGTAATTCAATTGAATTGAGATATTTAAAACCAACAAATTAACTAATTATTGTTTATAGGAAATACGTAACAATAAAACAACGGAATGCTGGAAGTACAAGATGGTATGCATGCTCCTACTGTCATAAAGAGTTTAAAAAACCATCAGATCTGCTTCGACATTTACGAATACATACACAAGAGAAGCCATATAAGGTATATTTAATTTTGAACGATATCTGTTAAGTTATGTTTCAATTTCTCCAATTGATAATTATTGTTTAAATTATTTCCTAGTGCTCTCAATGCTATCAATCTTTTGCACTAAAATCGACAATGAATGCTCATGAACGAACTCATTCCGGAGTAAAAAAATATGCTTGCGGTATTTGTGCGAAGAAATTTGCTTGCCATAGTAGTCTCAAAGCTCACACAAGGTAATTTACATCACAGTGAAGAATGAAATATTACTCATGTAAAAAGTAGCAGCAGTAACGTATATATACATTTATATTTTTTTCATTTTAGAACTCACACAAAACCTTTTGTATGTACTATTTGTGAAAAATCTTTTGGAACAAACAGTGTTTTAAAAAGCCATCTAAAAAGTCATGTGAAATCAAAATTAAAGATATCACCAGATGCAGAGGCTTTGATACCACAAATTATTTTAGAAGAGCCATTAGTAATAAGTGATGCAGGAAATAAAATTAGTGTAGCTCATATAAAATCGAAACAGAATCATGTTCATGCAGATGGTGATAATACTAGTAGACCACATAAATGTTGGGTTTGTCCAGCAGCGTTTAGAAAAATAAGTCATTTGAAACAGCATTATCGTCGTCATACTGGTGAACGACCATTCAAATGTCCAAAATGTGAAAGGAAATTTACGTCTAACAGTGTTCTCAAAGCTCATCTACAGACTCATGAAGCAGCTAGACCGTATAACTGTACCGTTTGCAATGCTAAATTCTCAACACAGAGTAGTATGAAACGGCATTTAATCACTCATAGTAACAAAAGACCGTTCATGTGCCCATATTGTCATAAAACATTTAAGACCACCGTCAACTGCAGGAAACACATGAAAATTCACAAAACCGAGCTTGCGCAACAGGTTAATTTTAGAAATTTCTTATTTCTGTTACTTGCTATTATTGATTTTGATTAAAAATATCTTACTTTAAAATTAAATATAATTAACATTATTTTTCTCTTTACAGCAACTAGAAAAACAACAAGCACAAGAAAAAGGATCTTTGTTAGAAATTCCAGATAAAGAACCAATTTCTGTTATACCAGAAAATATAAGTTTATCAGAAGATATTACAAATTCATTCCAGCAGAATATTAATTCTGATTTTACTCAAGCATTTAATGATCAATTTTCATCAATTAGTAATAAGGAAAAATCATTTTTAGCGGAGACTAATACTACGCAGGCGATAGAAAATTTATCACAAACACATAATAATAATAATAATACTAATAATAATATAGGAATCTCTCAAACTTTGCATGCTGATGAAACCGGAACTATTACATTACCAAATTATTCTGGAGACCAAACTCTTACTGCTGTAAGTAACTCAAAAAATCATTTTAAATTAAAATTGAAATCACTTATTTTTTTTTATTAAATTTTAATATTGCAGGAAAGTATACGAGAGATTGAAGAAACATTGAATCAACAACTTTTTAATATTGGAGTAAATCTCGGTTTAGGAAATAATTTATCTCGACAAATTAGTGATTCAGATGTCGGAGCATTGGAATCACGAGAACAACCAGTACTAAATATAATTTATGACAATTCTAAGTCACTTGACACAACTGGAGTTAATCCAATGAATACAAATATTTTTAATTCGCAATTTGATACCTTTGATATGAGTCACATAACTCTTCAAACAGATTCTGAAATGGATATTGGAATAACACCTGCTAATTCAACAAGCATGGCTAGTATATTGCCCAAATCAGCTCAAGAAGAACAGCGGTTAGCGCCTGTATCTGCTTCCAATTCTCAAGACAATCAATCAAAAAAGAGCGAACCTCTGATCATGGCTAATAATAGTATGCAATCATTTAGAGATGTATCAAAATCAATTTCGTGTCCAAAATATCCGAAAATAATTGCGAAGGCTGATACTACTGATAATTCTGAAATTTTAAATTTCAATCAAGAATCAAATGATTTGTCTGTTTCATCACCATCTTCCATTCTTGAACATCATTTACAATTACCATGTACATATTGTGATAAACTATTTTCAGATGAACATCAACTAAAATTACATATTGAAGCTCATCTCTCAGAAAGTATGAGAAGTAACGCGGAGGCTAATCAAAACTTATCAATCATTCTAAATAATGAAGCATCACTGCAATGCCATATGTGTTATAGTAAAGGATTTGATGTTATTTCATTGAAAGAACACCTAAAAACTCATCGAGGAGAGAAAGAATTCCAATGCACACAGTGTTCTCAAAAATTTTGTACCAATGGAGGTTTAAGTCGACATTTAAAAGTTCATGCTGGAAAAACTATTGACATGTGGAGCTGTACAATCTGTTATGAAACATTTTCGAATGAAAATCAATTAATATTACATAAAAAGACCCACAATCCTCTCGGATGGAATAGTCCTCATACAGAGCCTGATAGTTCGCAGAAAGAACCAATTGCTACGGAGACTGAATTGTTAAATATGAATACCATTAAGCAGGAATTGAACTCTTCAGTTTCAGAAAAATTACTATTTGATGCTGTAGTTGAGAGAGATTATTTAAAAATAAAGAATAATGATTCAACAGTTCAACAAGAAAAGAGAGAATTTGTTAATAAATGTGAATACTGTCCTAAAACATTTAGAAAACCAAGTGATTTAACTCGTCATATTCGAACGCATACTGGTGAACGTCCATATCAGTGTGAACATTGTGAAAAAAGTTTTGCAGTTAAATGTACCCTTGACTGTCATAAAAAAGTGCATACTGGTAATCAAAAATTCTGTTGTCACGTGTGCAATAGGCTTTTTGCAACAAAAGGTAGTTTAAAAGTGCACATGAGATTACATACAGGGTCCAAACCATTCAAATGTTTCATTTGCAATTTACAATTCAGAACTTCTGGTCATCGAAAGGTACATTTACTCACGCATATGAAAGAGAATAATAAGAATGATTTGAAAAAAAAACAAAAGATGAAAAAAATTGATGTAGCAACTGAAATGACTGAAAATTCTGTCGACAATCTGACTAATATTAATGATGAGTCTTTAGTCAATGTACCTCCAACTGCAGATTATTCTAATTTAGATACTATAACAATTGATACTACAGGTATACCAGACCAGTTAACTTTTAATGCTGATGGCACAATAGTCAATAATAATTCAATACTCTCAGTTAATGAAAGTAATCAACTTGTGGCTAATTTACATTTTCTTCTCGCTAATGGATTAGTGACAATTCAAACAGATGAAGGTTTAATACCTTCATTGAATACTCCAGAAACTACTAATATCACTCAAGAGCCTACCACAGATCATGCGTTGAATGTGCCAAATACACTCGAGCAAGTATCGAATAACTCATCGGCAAATAATTTAATGATAACTACTCAAATAGATAATCTTCCAACACCTCATACTGATAGGCAATCATCATCGTTACAGTTGAATGACTGTATGGCTTTTATTCCAATAACTTCAGCTAATACATGTCCTGTTAATCAAATTCCACCATCATCAACTGCCCCTATTTCCAAAATCAATGGAAAAAATACGAAAGTTACATCTAAAAAAGAATGCGATATTTGCGGAAAAACATTTATGAAACCATGCCAAGTAGAGAGGCATAAACGGATTCACACTGGTGAAAGACCTTTTAAGTGTGAATTATGTTCAAAGTCATTTGCACAAAAGTCTACTTTACAAATGCATCAGAAACATCACACCGGCGATAGACCATATTCCTGTCCACATTGTGATTATTCTTTCACTCAAAAAGGTAATCTTCAAACTCATCTCAAACGGGTTCATAAATTAGATACAATAGAAGGGAAAAAATTAAAGCATGGTCAGCAAATTGCCAGTGCAAAAATAATGCAAGATGAAACAAATAATATTACAGATAATGGGATACCCAATTTAGATGACATTTCATCTTTGGTTGAACTTCTAAAATAATTTTAATTGGATATAATATTTGTGTAATCGATGGTAATCAATTAATTTAGAATATTATTAGAATTTTATATTTTTTATTACTTTGAGATTGAATAATAATATAATTATTATATTATAAATTTTTTTCTTAAGTAAATATAACATGAGATTGTAACAGACTGAATTCTTGCAGAGCAAAAGTAAGAATAAATGTTGTGTAAATATATATATTTTATATTAAAACCCAATAAAAAATGTTTATTAAATTTTAGATTTTTGTGGAGCAAATTTTCATGTATAAACCATGTAATGATTACAAATTGCTGTAAATGGATAACTCATGATTACTGCAATTAATTCTGTGTTCATTATGTTTATTTTTCAAACAATAAATGAATTATAACTTTATGAATAGAATAAAAAATCAATTTTTTAACCAGTATACAAAAATATTTTTTGTGTATTTTTATAATCTAAGTATGAAACCATATTTTAATTGAACTCAAATTGAAAGGAATTCAATGTTTATAAGTACATTTTTCACTGCTTAACGGACAGCCATTAGGGTGATTAATAAAAAACCAACATGGTTTTACTCGAAATTGAATATTGGATTTATTACGACGTTTTTTAATAGTTGTACTATTAGATCCAGGTATTCTAAATTGAACGGTACCATCAATTACTTGAAAAATGTGGCTATTATTTCTCAATAATGTTTGTAAACCTCCACATTCTTTTTTCAATTGTTGAAGAGTATTTGAAGGTATTACTTTAACTATTTCCTTCAATTTTACCTTCCCACCAGCATTCCATTTTATGTTAGAATTTTCCAATTCTATTATACGAGTTTTACATAACAAATGATTTACAACTAAATCAACTATCTTATTGACAACTTCTTTATCAATTTTGGTACAATTTCTTACTTTTTCCACCACTTCTCTGGGTTTGAAATTCTGCGACCACTTTTGATCATCAATTATTTCACTTTTATCTGATTTTATATTTAACGAACGGTCTAAAATAATTTTTTCTATTTCATTGTCTATGATATCGGTTTCTTCTTCACTGTATGTTCTTGCAGATCCAATTAAACATATTCGTTTTGTAGATGGAATACGTAGTTTGTCAACTTGTGTAACAAATCCACATACTTCACAGATACTTTGCACGTATTTTAAATATTCTAAATACTGGCTATTAGACGCTATAGTTCGTTGGTATTTTCTACCATCAAATTCATAAGCACAGCAGGGAAGCAAGAAAAACCTACAATTGTATGAACTTCGAGCTGCAATTACTGGTATCCATGGTGTTAATTCGTCTGAGTGGTTGCCAATTATCCAATCTATGTCAGGAAATAGCGATTTTGATGATGGAATTATTGTTCTAGTCTGTAATAGTATTGTAGAAAATTAATAAAAAAAAACCAATGAAATTGACATGAAACAACTTATTTATTTTTACCAATCAACTTACTTCTAGTTGAGTAGTTTGTGAAAATAAATCCCATATTTTTCTTCGTCGTAAATCAATTCCTAGACCATTGTGTCCTTCATTCGTCAGTATGTATGCAAGTAGTCCATTTCCACATCCAAGATCTAAGAAGGATTGTTTTTTTTCAAGGCATGCTTTATTTCTTTCTTGCTCCCATAATACTAATAAATAAGCTGCAATTGCTATGTCTTCAAACACAAATTTTTTAGGGTCAGTACATTCAGTCCAGTTCTTTATTAAATCAGGGCTATATTTTAATTTTAATTCTGTGTACAAACTGTGATATTTATGTATTGAAATTAGATTCAAAGAACCCTGAACAAAAGAATTATTTAGAACTTCTGATGTCATCCATTTCTCTAAAGATAAGAGAAGTTTGGTTTTTAACCAATGGATACTTGGATGATCAAAGTCTGATTCAGAAGTTGCTACTGCTATACTAATTTTTTCTTTATCGCAACTAATTTTGTAAGGCCACTGCAAAGTCAAGCATCGTTTATTATTATCAAGACACATTGATTGGCAAATAATATTTGTTGCTTCTTTATCTATTAAAACAAACTCCATAGTTGGACTGAAATTCGAATTATCTTTAGGAGAAAGTTTTATTACTATTAAAAATTTGCCAGTTTCATTAATTTTTACATCATTATGTTGAATAAAGTCTGTATTTTTTGATAAAAGAGTCAATGACAAATCACCTAATATATTGAAAATACAAAAAACATTATCTTTAAAAAATTTCGAAACATCTTTAATATTCGAAATTCGTTCAGCGATTGATTCAATGTCAAGATAGTTTACTTTTGCTGTGAAAATAATTTCTGAAGATAATATTCTCTTGTTGATAACTTGAGAGTGATTCAGCCAAACATTTATTGCATACCAAAATTTATTAATATCCGTATTAGATATTCCAGCAGTTGCTAAATCGTGGAAATTCATGTTAGAAAAGATTTTTCTACTTTAAATATTTTTAATAATATTATTTACTATTATTTGGCAATAAAGTTTGAATATCTATATTATACTGCAAATGAAAATTCATCCAATTAATAATTTCAAAAAATATATCAAAAATATCAATATTTAAAAATGTGTACCTTTTTAAATATCCATTCAGCATCACTTAAAGATTTATCCATTATTTGTTTCACTCTTTCTGGATCAGGTTCAAACACATGTTGTTTAAAACTCTGAAAATATTTTAATTAAACTTTTTCTCATTTACAAAAGTTTATAGATTCAATTGAAATGAGAATGCACTATTTGTTAAATATTTACAGAGAAAAATAACAATGACACTTTAATTGAAGGTTATATAGTTTTGAGGTTATAAATACTACGTCATGTGAATTTATTTTCTTTTCGTTAAACTTCTGCATAAAATAATAAATTTGAGTAACTTTAAAAATCTTACTTGTTTAATAGAATGTTGATAATGTTCTTTAGCACCTTTAGGCAGTTTATTGCACGATCTGAGCAAAAATTTATACAATTGTTTGGGAGTTTTGATTGTTTGCTGTAAAATGTTATTTGCCATTATTTCCTCTATCAAATTAGTATAACATGTGGTGATAAAGTTAATGAAAACTTTTAAAAGTTAGTCGACTCGATTTAATTAGTACAAATTTATTTTTATGATTCAATTTCCAACTAATTCAAAGCAGTATTCGCACAATTATTTTCTGATGTAATCTAGTTATATATTTTCTAAAAGTAGATGCTTATTTTTTAAATACTTATTTTTATATTTAAAATTCCAATATATATTTATCAAATATATATGCGTAAATACACGTTAGATATATTATAATTATTAAATAATCAATCAACGATGTTGCGAATTTTTCAATATGTTTTACAAAATTTTTCGTTGAATACTTTACGAAATTATGCTGGAATAGCAAACAAAACATTGAGCACTTTAAGTGGAAATTATACTGCTGGTTTAATCAGTAAGTATCTACACTTGTTAAAACTTTTTTATACTTTAATTATTCAAGGTTTATTCTTGTACCATTTTTTTTTTCAGTCATTGGCGATGAAATACTGAAAGCTCAAGTGAAGGATACCAATTCACATTTCATGTGCTCCTTGTTATATGAATGTGGAGTCAAAGTAGAAAAAGTGAGTTTTAAAATTTTTGCAAAATAATTTTGATAATGTGATAATATATTTTCATTTTATAAAATGTTTCCAATTTTTAGATCTCAGTAATCAGTGATAATGTGGATATAATTGCTAATGAGATAAAAGAGTTTTCTGAAAGGTACAAATATGTTATTACATCAGGAGGAGTTGGACCAACCCACGATGATATGACGTATGAAGGTAAAATTTTAGATAAAATGTTATTATTGTTATGTCAATATTTAAAACGATTCCAAAAAACTAATACTAATACTATCAACAATTATTTTAGGTCTTGCAAAAGCATTTAGTGACTCATTACATTATCATCCAACACTTGTTAGTATTGTAAAAGAATTATGTAAAACAGATGATAAAAATTCACCATTGTACAAAGTTGCTAATGTAAGTAATTACATGGATTAAATTTACGAAGTAATTCAATCAAATAAATCAATAAATGACAAGTGTTTAATAAATCATAATATTTAGATACCTTCGTCAGCAGTTTTAAAATTTGGCAAAAATGATAAAACTGGAGAAGTTTTAAAGTTTCCATGCGTTAACGTGAAGAATGTTTATGTTTTCCCGGGATCACCAATATACTTGGAACCATTATTTTATAGTTTGTGCAAGGTAATCATTATAGTAAAGTCATTATAAATATTCACGTAATTGTATATTTCTTCATAGTTTATTATTCAACTGAAAGTATTGCAATCATTTCAGGAGCTATTTAATACACATAAAATATTTTTTAAACAAGTATTATATATAGATGCAACAGAAGAATTATTTGCAAATGCATTAACAAGCGTTGCAAAAGACTTTCCTAATGTTGCATTTGGTTCTTATCCAGTCAGTAATCAGAAGTAAGTTTTAAACTTGAATTACATCACGTAATACTTTAAGACTAATGAATGAAACTGTTTTTATTATTATAGATATTACAAGGTACGAGTTACCGTTGAGAGTGATAATGAAGATGTTACTAACGGTGCATTGAATAAGTTTTGTAGTTTAATACCTGCTGAGATTGTGATTGATTATGATGATTCACCGGAAATTGATTCTCTGGCAAAGTATAATAAGTTTATATCTAACTTGGAGCGAAAATCCGATACTACAGTATTCCAAAATTTACTTGATGAATTATGGTAAGCAATTATTTTTCCTTATTTTATTGAACTTCAATTTAAAGCCGGACAATGAATCAATTGATACGCAATTCCAGTGATATTTATAAAGAGCCAAATAAAGTAGCATTGTGCATCGACGGCAGTATCGGTTCTATGATATTACTTCATCTTGCCCACATAGCACAGAAAAAAATAAATAACGATTCAGATTATTATGGTATTTTTTTTAAAGAAAAAAAAAATACTGAGCAATTTATTGAAGGAGTTTCTAAACGGTAAGCATTTCAAAGAAATCTAAAATTTATAGGTATTTACAATTTTTATTCATAATTTTTTTCTTTTGCATATTTTATATACATTATTTTTACTTTTTTTGCTCATTTGTAATATATATTCTTTACTATATCCGTTCTAATGGTCTCCTGTTTATTTTTGTTTTGATTATTAACAATGTATTAATTTTTTTTTCTATTTATTTTATTCATCATTATCTTCCTCTATTGTCAATAAAAATATTTTATTTTATTAAAACTAACGAGCTCATTAAATTAATTATTTTTACTTTTGCTTTGGCAAAATAATTGAATCTTATTAATAATTTTCGTTTGCAGATATAATTTAAAATTAATTACATTAGATATAACAACAGTGGAAAACTTGGAAAGTTTGAAAATTTCATTACCACAATTGCAAATTCTATTAATGCATAATAATTCATTATCAGAAAAGCAGGATGAATTTTTCCACATGTTGACTCGCAAAGCACAGCTTTCGTCAATAATAATCAAATCTCCTCTGATGGTTTTAACTTCTGATAGTTTATGGACATTTGCTAAATCTTTTAGTTTACCGTATTCTTCATTATGAAATGTCAGATAGTACAAAGCCTGACTGGAATTTAATAACTTAGGAAGGTAAGTAGTTCTAGACTTATCGTCCAGTATAAACTTTAAACGTTACTCACTTCTAGTGATAAAGTGGTACTTTCTAGGGCTATAAATCAAATAAATGTAAATTTAATAATCTATTACCTCTATACATTAAAATTTTTTAATCACAATATTTTAATAAATAATTTGACTTATTATTGTAACAAAGTGGTATTAATGAATGAAGATTTTTAGATTTTAATGCAAAATTGGAGTTATTGAATAGAGATTTCATACAAACTTATGTAAATATTAAATGAATCATTTTGTGAGAATAAGAATATACAATGCATGAACCAAGTTCATTTATTCAATCAAAAATAGAAAGGAAGGAAGTATTTTGTAAAAATGTGCATAGCTGCTGGAGTGGAAAAAATTGCAAACAAAATGTACATTTATTAGCTTATAAAGATGGATGGTATTGCGCTACCATGGTAACAGCCTAAATGACATATCGATTCTTCACTATCCCAAGTATATACTTTTTTTTTCATCTCGAACTACAGTTTCATTGCATATTCACGATATTTTATTTTTTCAAACAGCGCTAAGTACTTCGCATGCGCGCATAACCATTTTTCATAAGAAGAAAAATGATAAGCATCAAATATTATTGTTAGCAATGAGAAAAGCTGATAATTTAATGAAAAGTTCTTTTATAAGTTAAATTTCAGTAGAAGGTATCATTGTTTATATAAGCTCCAGTTGCTGTAATATCAACGTTTAGAAGATTACGGAATAAGAATGAGTGGTAGAAAAGTTTTTTTAATCCTGAAAAATCTCTTCAGAGTTTAAACAAATATTATTTCGTTGAAAAATAATATTAAGTATTCTTAAAAATGTTTTTTTTTTTTTTTTTAAATTATAAATCTTCAATATTGTTTGATGATTCTACAACTGTCGAGTAATAAATTTTTGAAAATTACATTAAATGTTGTTAAAGAAAAAGTTTTATAACACTTACTTATCTTTAGATTGTGTTGGATCGTGATTTTCAAAATTTAATTTCAACTTAAAGTATTTTCAGTTTTCACTTTAAAACTTTGAAATGAAACTGTAAGAAGAAGGAGAAGATGGGTGTATGGAAGACAGTGTAGTCTACCTTCTATTTCTCATACTCTCATACTTACTTCTCCTACAATCCCTCTTTTTTCTTTTATAGAGCCTCGATTCCATCCGCACTGAATGAAAGACGATTCTTCATGTTTTCATTACTCATCTTTTCAGAGACGACAGTCTTATTTTACGGTAAATACGTCGTAAAGTATTATTGGAGAATCGTAAAAGTGAGAGGTGGCGGTTGAATTGATATTGATATTGAGGTGGTATCAACATGAAAAGAATTCTCTGCACCCAAGAGTATAGTTGAAGGAAAACGAAACGTAATTTTATTTATTCTATTAGATTTCTATTTGAATTTTATTCATAAACACAAATACTTTTTTATGTTATATTCTAAAAAGCATTTTATTTAATTTTCTTCTCATTCAAGTATAATTTAATAATAATCAACTAAACGGAAAATATGATTAAGTTGAATGGAGAATTAATAAAATTATATGGCATCAAGGAATGAACCTTAATTGGATATTTTTTGAAATATTAAAATATAGAATTTCAAGGGGAAATAAATTAGGAAAAAATCCACATAAGTGAAAGCAATAAATTCATTAAATTGAAGTTACAATTGGAACTTTACAATTAATTTATATCGTAAATAAGTAAAAAAAAATTGTAATTATTGTTGGTCAGACTTCGTATTTTTTTCTCTTCCACGAATTTTTCGTATTTGAATCCATGCCAATAGTTATTAAATAAGCTGTATTGAACATTACAATTCATGTAAAATTTTTTATTTTACTTATGTTGCATGGAATACGTAGATTAGCATCTTAAGATACGTTTGTGAAAGTCAATCATATTATTTTCTATCTATTTCTTGACAAAAAAAAAACAGAAATAGAAATAACCATCGTTTTCTAGTTACAAACCTCATATGTATGAACAATATGATCAAGAATGCCCATTTGTGTTTGTACATCACCCTTGTATTCGCTCTATAATTTTCTTCTTTGTGAATTTCTCATTCTCCACCTATTTTATTTCTTTTCGAAAAAAAATCCTTACTATGTCTTCGGCTTTACAAGAGGAAAAGAGAAGAAAGGAATATTTGTTCTTTTCTATGTTTCTTTTTTTACGAGAAATAAAGGACCTCGAGTCTCCTTCAAAGAGTCCTGAATCGAGAAAATTATAGAGAACACGCTGTATGTTATCATTTAGAGTAACTTTAAATGACTTGATAATTTTTTTAAAATTTTTCTATTTTGCTATTTGTTTATATTGCGATTTTTTTTGAGTCAAATTTCTTTCACCACAAAAGTATAAAGTTGCTCTCTCAGTAAAAGACTCAAACAAAAAGTCTGAAAATATTGAAAGTATTTTATAAAAATTCTATGACGTTTAACTAAATTCTAGTTACACTACTGATTCGAACATTTTTTGTCAACCATTAAATGTTATTTATTTATGTATCGAATTTATTGAAGCATTTTTTTGATCTCTTACTATTCTTTAGAATGCATGCAATTTTTTTCAAATCATAAAATTCTTTGAACAAAATAAAAAAAAAATACGAAATCAATTTTGATGAAAAATGGATCATCTCGTTTTTTTCTAGTATTCTTTAGATAAATTCAATCGACAGAAATATGACTTGAATAAAAGCTTTTTGTGTGCTGGAAAAATTTATTTAAGGTAAATTAAAATTTAATTAATGATTCAAAGTTACTTTAGGTATTAATTAATAAAATTAATTAAATAATTATTAGCTAGTAAAGTTTTGTTGGACTAATCAAATACAAATTATGTGAGTTTATGATGGACCAATAAAAGTTTATTTGAATACCGTAAACACATTTAACAATATATTTCCATCAAAATTACCTTCAAGAGTTAAATTCAATTTTGCATCCGATATTCTTTAACCCTTTTCTTAATCTCTTTCTTTACATGATATGTAATTAAGTTTTTTCCTTATTAAAAATAAATTTTAAATAAAGTATAAACAATTTCATTTTATTTGGGAAATAATATGAGTCGTATACTTTTTATGAATTCAGTCTATGTTGATTGTGAATAATGAGTTGCAAAAAACAAAAATTTAAATTCATTAAGAGTATGACTTTGATAATTATTAGTGAAAAACATGGTTATTATATTGTTTACACAGTACAATAAATTATTAGTAAAATTGATTAAAGTATCCCCTTTGGCCCTCGGATGGGGATTGAGCAACAGAGTGAGGCAAAGAGAGAGGCACACGTCCTGAGGCGGCTAGACAGGTCGGACGGGCAATCTCATATTTCACTCGAGTATTTCATTTGAGTTCAGAATTGATTGCTTGCCGGGTCGAAGGAAGATAGAGCTGCAGGGTCAAGGGTGAGGAAGGAGAGGGAATTATGGCGGGGGTGTCGTGGTGGTTGGGTGGAGTTGAAGTGCGATGACGCTGGGGTAAGAGGAAGATGAGAAAGAGGGTAGGACAGTCGACAAGAGGAGCGTTTTTGTGGGAGGAGTATGGCTCCACGAAGAATGTAGGGAATATATTTGGGAGAACAGTAGCAAACACAATGGTACGAGACGACGTATATTTCTAGAACAAATATTTACACGAAGGGATGGATCTGCGAGGAAAGGGGAGGAATACAGAGGAAGAGAGAAAGAGGGAGGATAGCAACGGGACAAGAGTTGGGTGAGAATTTGGCTGAAAATAAAAAAGAACAAAAATGTGTTTTCTATTTGATTTGCGACTATATTTTCTTTCTGCCTCAAAGAATTTTGTAGGACTTTTTAAAAGAGTGAACATTTTTTGTTGTTGGACAGTTGATAGAAATTTTATCTACTCGACGGTTATTATTTTATTTTATTATTTTTCTTTTTTATATTCATTCTTAATATTATAAAAAATAGTTTAATTTATTTTTATCGTCAAGGAAAAGTTGATTAATTGATAACTGCATTTAAATCTTATCTCTGTTTATTTTTTTTTTTCAATTTAAAATAGAAAGCACTGATCACGTAAAAATAATTTAGTAGAAAATTATTTTAATCATGTTGCAATCAAGCAACTTTCCATCAATTAATTTTTAGTTAATATCCTATTCAATCATATTTTTATCAACGCCGTAAGCAATGTGAGTTTTTCAAGTTCGTTTTACATCATGTAAAATTTTAATTAAAAAAAAATTTTAAAACTCTGGGATGTATTTTAAACTATTTAAAACATTTTTCAACAGCAAATTCGAATGAATCAAAAATAATTACTACATTCCATCTCACACAAAAGCATTATTGAAAAAATAAAAAGCATAAAAATGGATAAAAAAAAATTCAAAATTATCACTTGATTTAACCAAATTCATTAATTAAATTTACTGTTGGTATTTAAAATTGAAGAACTCCCAGATGATTATTCAAAGGGTTAAGAAAGTTAAGTCGTTCACGATCTAGATCTTTCAGGATATGGCTTAACGTTTCATGACCCATGTTAACTACGGACTAGCATCAAGTAGCATCACTTCAGTATATATACTCTTCTTTCACCACTATCCCTTTTAAAGAATACCGACCAGATTTCTTCCTCTTGAAAAAAGATACTCAAAGTTGACATGTTAAACAATGATTAAAAGAATATCCTATTACTCTAATATTAGAACAATTACTAATTAACAGAGTTTTTAATAAAAGCAAAATAAAGTAAAATAATTTTGTATAAATTATAGAGCTCATACTTGATGTCTTAATAATTGATGAATTGAGGATCGAAACTCTTGATAGTAACTGTCTATTTTGACTGAGAACCAGGAAAATGTAAATTCGTGGATATTCACAGTTCAGTGCGTTGCGGATTTGGCAGTTTATAACACAATGTTGGTAACGAACCAAAGCTCTTGCCATCAGGGAATTCGATTTGTTAGACCACCAGGTTTACTATGGACATTTTATTTCATTAACAATCTCAAAAGGGTGATAGACCCCATTTTCGAAATATTAATCCATTACATTAAGCTCCTTTAAGTGCTTACAAACTTATTATAATTACATTACAGCTCATGTATGCTAATTTTATCTTTTCATTCTTATTTTTTTTTCAATTTCATTGGAAATAGCTTGAGTCGTAAGACTTAGGTAAGTCGACACTCTTATTATTTTAAAAATCAAGAAAAGTAATAATACATAATGTGACAAATTACACGTGTATTTATACATAAATTAAGTTAATATCATTGATGAATATTTTACGTGACTTGATTTCCTGTAATCAGTGATCATTATTAATCGAATAACGAATAATGGTATAATGACACGGATAATAACCTTGTAATGGTTTCCGGTACTTACATTAACCGGTGTATTTCAAGTTTATTATTAGATCTCATTTGGTAATGAAC